TGATAGTATAAGCTGACACAAATGATAGTATAAGTTGACACAAATGATAGTATAAGCTGACACAAATGATAGTATAAGTTGACACAAATGATAGTTAGGTTGAAGCAAATGATAGTATAAGTTGACACACATGATAGTATAAGCTGACACAAATGATAGTATAAGCTGAAACAAATGATAGTATTAGTTGACACAAATGATAGTATAAGCTGACACAAATGATAGTATAAGCTGACACAAATTATAGTATAATTTGACGCAAATGATAACTTTAAGCATAAGAGAAACCAAAACTACTTTTAAAAACCCTAACATGTTTTTATCATTAAATCATTTTTGTACAAATAATATTAAAACTAAAAGGAAAATCATTCCAACTATGTTTAAATGCAATATCTTATAATTTATGGAAGCATTTAATTATTTACCTCCCCTTGAAGCAAGCACCTTGCTATCATATGAAAAACAGAGTGACGATGTGTCACTGCCATTCATATGGGCGGTTCGTAACAATTTTGACACATTCACCTGAAAAATAGTATTATATATAAGAACCCACTATTCAATGATAAAGAAATAAATAATAATTCTTTTCTATTCAAGATATATAACAAGCTAAACACATGCAAGTGTATATCTACATGTATTCTGAGCTTGAGATAACCCTCAATCTGGCGGACAAAATCTATTGTACAAATTTGAAAAGGAACCTTGTAAGGATGTTTTAGATGATCAATTTACTGTTTACATTTGATAAGGATAACATGGGTCATTCCACTGTGATAAAATACACCTGTTTTACAACTACATCTTTGACTATAAAAAATTCATCAGAATTAATCTTCAATTGTAATTAGAAGAAGGTGAGAAGGCAATATTTCTGAAATGTTGTTGCAAGTAATGTATCTTGTTCAATATTGTTAGAATTATGGTGTGGTTGAATGTAAAAAATCTAACATAAGTCAGAATATTACTGTAACTGCAACCATTTGCATACTATTAAATCTATGTTAAACCTACTACATCTGATTTTAATTGACTGTATATTGCATCTGGGTAGATTATATGGCAACATTTCAGTTTTAATGATTAAACTACTTCAAAGTACTTTGTTTTAAGCTTGCACTGGCACCAAGGAAACCAACTCATGACCTGTTCTTAGACTGGTCAAATAAGACCCTAACATGGTTCACAAAAGCACGGCAGCTTTATACACCATTGTATAATCATTCTAATAAATCTATTTCTTTTTGTTTTCATTGGCATCAGTGGTTTATTGGTAACTTGTATACTATGAAACATAAGATCATACAAATGGTCTGTTATGATCCCAGATCTGTATAGAACCATCCTGGCAAGCTGCAACAATCCATCTACCATCATGACTATATGTACAAGCTGTTGGTACAACACGACGACCCTGCTGAGATCGTGGTTTTATCACATGACGCTGTTTCTTACCCTCATCATTTACATCCCATAAACGTACTGTCCTGTAACCAATTACACATATACAAACACATAGTAATATACTAATTAGTTTACACATAATTTAATTTAGGAACCTATATAAGTAGCTACAGCGTAAAGTCACACTCTCAACCTGTTCCTGAAACCAAACAGTATTCAGAAATTAATGTAAATTTTTTGTAAATTAAGTTTTAAACCCATATGGCCAGAAATGTTTACATAATTAGTCTGAGATAATAACCACTTGGCCTAGCCAACATTCTAATTAATTGCTGATCTAAACTGTCTTGGTATTATTAAGGTAAAATGTTTATATACAGGTCCGGTGTAAGTACATATTTCTGAACAAACTATATTTCCGTGGGAAACAACACGACCACAGATTTAAAACCCCCAGAAATTAAAGCCACTATGTCTGTATTTGTCTGTACATTTGCATATTACATTGTTTTCTACAAAGATTTAGTCTACCATACATTGCCATATTGTGTAATCACTTTGTACTGCATATGAACTGCATATGAACAGGGACCATTCCATGTTTTAGTAGTGAGGGGACATCAATATTCCTGGTATTAGTAAATAAAACTTAATAAAACTTCAATAAACATAATCTTTTTATTTGTACAGTTCCTTAATGATCCATACTGAAATTGAGAAAGTCAAAACATTGTTTGCAGAGGCTGAAAGGGGGCGATAACCTCAAATGTTCATGTTTTCTTACTTATTACCATATATGAGATTTTCATAACAATGGTGTTAATCACATCTTTAAGAGAATTTATAATTAATTAATGTTATAATAACAATGGTGTTAATCACATCTTTAAAAGAATTTATAATTGATTAATGTTATAATAACAATGGTTATCAATTAACTTTGGAACAGGTAATTAAAGAACAAATATGACATAACTGTTTTCTTTAAACTACTGACATAGAATGGCAAAAATAGAACACTTCAATGCAAGCTTGACATCCCTGGGGAAATAAGGTACACAGAAATGTAAGACCCCCTTGTTTTAAAAAAAAATCGAAGAATATTTAGCCCGCAGAAATATAACCTATAAGGTAACATGTCATGAAAATTCAGAAAATGCTCGCTATACAATAAGTCTATATATACATTCTGCACTCGTCTACACATAGTTGATTAGTATTTAACTTTTTTTCTAAGAACTTAGAAATATAAAGAAAGTAAATTTATATTTATCTGTCATTCAACAAAAAAATGTTAAACAACTCACCCATCATTTGAACAAGTCATAAATTCAGCTTTTACTTTTGGATTAAAGCATCCAGAATTCAACATTGCAGCATGACCCTGCAATAATATCAAACATATTATATAATTATAAATGGATATCAACATATCTGTTTAAATAGTTAAATTAAGTGCACTTAATAAAGAATAATGCTAAACACTATTCACATCAGCAATATACCAACATTTCAAGCACTTAAAACACTGATGAAAGGCAGTTTTATTAATAGATTATTAAATTTAATTATCACTTAAGGAACCATTTTCCTTACATGTATTATAGAAGCAAGTAAAATCATTTCAAAGCTTCTTAACAACCCCTCACAGTGACTATCACACCATAACAGTGACTGTCACACCATAACAGTGACTGTAACACCTGCACAGTGACTGTAACACCCTCACAGTTACTGTCACACCCTCACAGTGACTGTAACACCCTCACAGTGACTGTAACACCCTCACAGTGACTGTCACATCCTCACAGTGACTGCCACACCCGCACAGTGACTGTCACACCCTCACAGTGACTGTCACACCCTAACAGTGATTGTCACACTCTCACAATGACTGTCACATCCTCACTGTGAATGTCACACCCTCACAGTGACTGTCACACCCCTCACAGTGACTGTCACACCCTCACAGTGACTGTCACGCCATAACAGTGACTGTCACACCCTCACAATGACTGTCACACCTCACAATGACTGTCACACCTCACAGTGACTGTCACACCCTCACAGTGACTGTCACACCCTAAAAGTGACTGTCACACCCTCACAGTGTTGACTGTCACACCTTTGCAGTGACTGTCACACCCTCACAATGACTGTCACACCCTCACAGTGGTGACTGTCACACCCTCACAGTGACTGTCACCCTCACAGTTACTGTCACACCATAAAAGTGACTGTCACACCCTAACAATGACTGTCACACCTTCACAGTGACTGTCACACCCTTACAGTGACTGTCACACCCTCATAGTGGTGACTGTCACAACCTCAAAGTGGCTGTCACACCCTTCCAGTGACTGTCACACCCTCACAGTGACTGTCACACCCTCACAGTGGTGACTATCACACTCTCACAATGGTGACTGTCACATCCTCACAGTGACTGTCACACCCTCACAGTGACTGTCTCACTATAGAACTACATTGATAAGAGGAATTAACCACCTTCAAAGTTTACATGTTACAAATAAATGTAAAGAATGCAGAAGTACTTCAAAGAAATTTAATATATAAAGTACTATAATCTTATGAAACATGCATAAACAATGCATAAATAGTTCTATGGAATGTCAAAATGATGTTTTTTAAGAAATTAATTTTTACATATTCATGTATTTGAATGATTTTTGTTCTGATTAACTAAGATAGCATGATGCCAGGCTTTTGTATTTCTGTTTAAGAAAATAAGTGAACAATATAAATAATTCTATTAACATTAAAGTAAACAAAGATTTTTGAATGAATGAGATAAATGCTTTATTTCAGATCAAAACAACTCATAAACATTTGTGTCTAGGATATTGTTTACAAAATACATATATTTAGATAGATCACATGTGCAGCACACATCAGGTCATCTTCATTATGTATCAAGTTGAACTGAGCCAGATATAATCAACTTTATCTTTGTTTAAATAATTTACTGTAATTTTAATATTTGGGATAGGGGTAGGACAAAATTATATTATTATATATACCTTTGTTTGAGCCATATCGGCTAAATACTGGTCACCTTTCTTACATTCAAATTTTTCAATTCCATCCCTGTCAAGTACTTTAGCCTGTGAGTTTCCTGCCACTACAAGAATTACATCTCCTGTACTACTATAATGTAGCTGCTTGATAGCGTGACTGAAATTATAACACCAATATCGGTATTTATAAAACAACTTGTTATTACTTTATGTATGTTATACTTATCATTAAATGCATATTAAAACATATTAAAAAGGATTTATGCTATATCAGTCACTTACATCACAGGGTAGATATCTTACAAATGTTCCTCAATTCTGAGATGCATTTACTCTACTTAAATAAATTTGTTACAGTAGTGTAGGACAAATGACATTAAATCTATCATCTCAGTTTCATTATTTAATATCATTTCAATACAGCATGTCTTATCTAGCAATGGTCTATGTTCCACAAATACCGTATAAGTATTTATTTCTGCGGGCTTAATATTCTGCGATTTTTGTTAAAATAAGGGGTTTTAAATTTCTGCGTATCTTATTATTCTTGCATTGATGTTTTTATTTCTGCGTTTTAATTTAGATTATTTAACTCAACTAACCGATACAAACAGACAACATTTCAAAATGTGTTGATGAAACATGTATATTACTTCCGGTAAACATGAGACGACTTATATTGTGTTTCATCGTAATCATCATGTAATGGTAAACGTTCATTAACAAAAATCAACAACGTGAAATGACAACAATTAATTGTAATACTATAAAGTGTGAAAAATAAACAACAGTAAAATCCCACATACACAAGATATTGTGCAAATACAAAAGGGTATGTTTATTGCACCCGTCAAACTATAACAGTTTAATTTTACAAAAATAAAATCAAACTTAGGGTGAGTGAAAATCATACAAACATGATATTTTTTTAAACAAAAAGAACAAGTTATGTAACTGTTTTGTAATATTTTATTCATGACGGATACATAAAGAAAAATTCCCATCTACAAAAGCCAATAACAGTACATGATAATGTAAATATACAATACTGGTAGTTGACATATTCCGACAGAGACATAGGGAAAGGCTTAATTTTCTGCGGTTTTTAAATCTGCGGTGTCGTTATGAACCGCAGAAATAGCAGAAATAAAGTTCTCGCTGAAAAAAGTACTTATACGGTATATTCTTTTCCTTATGTTCTATAACATGATTATGACCAAATACAGCAAAAAAGAACTAAAAGTAAACTACCATTTTGCAAGACCTACATGTATAATTCAGAAATTAATTCCTTAATTTACCTTAACCTACCTTTCACATGGTCTCAGAGTTCTAAATGGTTTAAGAGTTGAATCCATTCCAGCAAAATCAAATAGTTTGACATCATAATCGTAACCACCTGTAACCAAACGAGCACCGGACGGATCAAATGCCAATGCTGAAACCTATAAATCAAAATATATTATTTGAATTACATGTAGGTTTAATATTTAGGTAAACTAATCTATAAATCTCTTTAGAAAAACTTGACCTAGGGTAGAATTGCATTAAAGTCAGATGTGTAATGAGAAAGTGTGACTAAAACCAAACTAGAAACGTGTCCATAGGACACAGATGCTCCCACTCACTAATGGCTATATGGTCACTTCATACATTTATATACTTTCAGAGTAAATACACTCTGAATCATTTATAAGACTGATATTACAGAATGACAACTATGACAAACCTGTTCTGAGACCAGATAATGAATTAAGTATTAGTTTGGCTTGGAGGCTAAAATTATTGTTTGTAGAGGTCAGCTCTAACACTGTGACCAATAGGTGAACATTATTCTTCTTATTTCTGCATGTATAGGTGGACATTCTTGGGGCTATGCAGATAGTAAAATGAGCTATTTTCATGTCTCATTTGTACTAAGTTTATTGATGAAAAGTGAAATGTTATGTTAGTCTGACTGCTTATAATATGTCCACTGTCATCTCAATAGGATACAAGTCAACAAATAAAACCTCAGATGTACAACTGCACATGCTCACCAACATTCCTGTAAAATTCCATGGCTCTAGGTCAAACACTTTGCGGTTACACACCAACAAGTTGAAAATTGCAAAGTTTTCTAAGACAAGAGCAATAATAACTCTAACAAAACTGAATTAATCAACACACAAAAACCCCAGGTGCACAGTTTTACATGCTAACCAACATTTCTGTACAGTTTCATGACTATAGGTCAAATACATTTTGGGCTGACCTAGAAGTTGAAAATTACAAATTTTTTACTATTTTACTAAGTCAAGGAACGATCTAATTCTGAAATATTTGCTTGCTATCTGTCTGAATTTATAAAATAAAGTGGAATTTATACTATTTTTGAATTTCAGTAAATGTTGGAATAATCTATTGTATAAAATGGTCCAGTAACTTACTGTTTTCTTCCCATGATCAAGACTTATCTGTAGCCTTGATGGAATTCTCTTCAAAGGAGACTGGAAAATTACAATCAAAATATAGTTTTACAGCTTTTAAATATGATAAAAAAATAATATACAAACATACATACATAAAAAATATTTACTGGCTTGGGTATTTTTTCTATATTTTACTAAAACAGTTGAAATCAAATTATTGACTGATATTGAAAGCTGTGTACTGATATAGTATTTAAATGAGTTCTCATCCATCTATGTAAAGAAAATTACCCTATGCTCTACATACTGTAGTAAAAGAGACAGAAAGTAAATGTGAATCATTAGATGAATATTGAGAAATTCAGACATAAATTAAGAAAATATTGACACAACACAATATGTCTGTACACTGACATAGTTCTCTTTTTTGTACACTGACATAATTGTGTATTTATAAAAACTTTTTTTTTGCTACAAATACAATCTATTTTGCTTTCAATATTCAAAATGAAAGAATTTTACAAATGTATAGAAAGTAGTCTAACAAAACTTGCACAGAAGAAATAATATTGGTCTCAGTAGTTTATTGGCTATTTAACACCCACCTGTTTGTCATTTGAGCAAGAAAAATGAACCATTCAGACTAAGGCCTTTGAGGTCAATTCCTATGCATCTAAACTCCAAACCCACATTAAATAGTCTATTAACACCACAGAGACTGATAAGGGAGATCACTAATGCTATTATTTCAAGCAGAGATTATTTCCGCTGCACATTTTTGTATCTGGCTGTTCTGTTCCACATCCTACTATTCTTAAGATATTTAACAAAATTTTCAGCAACTTCTTTATCAATTTTTCAACAAATCAAGCATACACATCAGACTGAATTGTATTTTCTTTACATCAGTGCTCGATAAATCAATCTTCATACCCAACCATAACATCATTCTGGCTCCTTTATTAGTGAGTTGCATAGGATGACATCATTACGAGGGCTGTCCAAAAAATTCGTGCACTGCAGGAATTGTCGTGCGAGTAATTGATAGAAAAACATTAATTATATATCACTTGAAGGGGAGATCTGTTTCAAATGAGAAAACAAAAGAAAAAACCTGTAACCGGCATGTCGTGAAAACGAATCGTCATACAGTTACCTTGGTAACGTAATACCAGCGCAAGACAAAAATTGGGTTAGTTCATTACTTTGGTGCATCACGGTATTCTTGAAACACTAAATCTAAATGTTAAAATTCATGGAAAAGTATGTGTATGTATTCCTAACGTCACTAGAAAATATGACGTAATTTGCCCTATTGTAACGGTCGTAAACAAACGTTTGTGTGAGGTCGTCAATATTGTAATAACGTGAAGATGTCAGTCGCTAATCGTCTGAAAATATGGACGATCATTAAATTTTGTGCAAATAATGGTAAAACACAAACAGATGCCTACAAAGAACCTAAAAGGGCAAGCGGGGACAAGTTCAGTGTCACAAAGGCTGGTTTTTAAATTGCACAAACGCTTTGTAGAAGGGCGAGAGTCGGTAGACGATGACAACCGGTCAGGCAGACGTCTGTCCATAATGCCGGACTATGTGACGAGGGTTGTCCAATATATTCGTGGACTGGTGGAATATGTTACATGACCGCTGCATAAGAAAAATAAAAAGTACAAAATACTCTTCATCAATCGTTCCTCTTTTGACAGTAAAACAACTTTTAACATAAAAGCAAATGCCACTTTACAAGCAACAAAAAATTAATACAATTACAGTAATGAACTAACCCATTGTTTTGCCGTGCGCCGGTATTACGTTACTAAGGTAACTTAATGACCATTCTTTTACACGAAACGCCGGTTACTCGGCTTTTTCTTTTGTTTACTTATTTGAGACATATTTCCCCTTCAAGTGATATATAGTTCATTTGTTTTTATTAATAGCTCTCACGACAATAACTGTAGTGCATGAATTTTTTGGACAACCCTCGTACAAGGCTTATATATTGCCTAAGATTCTTCTAATATAGAATATATCAATTGGTATCAATAAAAGTAAAATTAAAAACATATCACTTATGTGTAAAATTCAAAACATATCACTTAAGTGTATGTAAGATGTTATCTTAGCATTATATGAAAAACAAAAACATTATAAGAATGGAAAAAAAAAAGATTTAGTATTGTTGCATTTGGTTATCCATCTTATCAGATAAGAAAATATGTATTAAAAGATCAGCCATATATACACATAGATTATAACCAGTGTTAAATAAAGCCTAATATTATTACATCATCCTGTTCTTCATCATCGGTACCATCATCATCATCATCATCTTTTGATTTTCCTTGTTTTTCTTCATGTGAACTCTTCATACTAGGAGGTAAAGGAGGTCCAATCATATCTTCATCTTCTCCCTCGTCTTGTATACTTGCTGGTACAGGTGGTCCTATCATTTCATCATCTGATGAAGAACATTATAAATAACACATACTGTATCATTTCACCATCTGATGAAGAACATTATAAATAACACATACTGTATCATTTCATCATCTGATGAAGAACATTATTATTTAATAACACATACTGTATCATTTTATCATCTGATGAAGAACATTATAAATAACTCATACTGTATCATTTCATCATCTGATGAAGAACATTATTATTTAATAACACATACTGTATCATTTTATCATCTGATGAAGAACATTATAAATAACACATACTGTATCATTTCATCATCTGATGAAGAGCATTATAAATAATACATACTGTATCATTTCATCATCTGATGAAGAACATTAAAGATAACACATACAGTATCATTTCATCATCTGATGAAGAACATTATAAATAACACATACTGTATCATTTCATCATCTGATGAAGAACATTATAGATAACACATACTGTATCATTTCATCATCTGATGAAGAACATTATAGATAACACATACTGTATCATTTCATCATCTGATGAAGAACATTATTATTTAATAACACATACTGTATCATTTTATCATCTGATGAAGAACATTATAAATAACTCATACTGTATCATTTCATCATCTGATGAAGAACATTATTATTTAATAACACATACTGTATCATTTTATCATCTGATGAAGAACATTATAAATAACACATACTGTATCATTTCATCATCTGATGAAGAACATTATAAATAATACATACTGTATCATTTCATCATCTGATGAAGAACATTAAAGATAACACATACAGTATCATTTCATCATCTGATGAAGAACATTATTATTTTATAACACATACTGTATCATTTTATCATCTGATGAAGAACATTATAAATAACACATACTGTATCATTTCATCATCTGATGAAGAACATTATAAATAATACATACTGTATCATTTCATCATCTGATGAAGAACATTATATAAATAACACATACTGTTTCATTTTATCATCTGATGAAGAACATTATAAATAACACATACTGTATCATTTTATCATCTGATGAAGAACATTATAAATAACATACAGTATCGTTTCATCATCTGATGAACAACATTATAGATAACACATACAGTATCATTTCATCATCTGATGAAGAACATTATAAATAACACATACTGTATCATTTCATCATCTGATGAAGAACATTATAGATAACACATACAGTATCATTTCATCATCTGATGAAGAACACTATAAATAACACGTACTGTATCATTTCATCATCTGATGAAGAACATTATAAATAACACGTACTGTATCATTTCATCATCTGATGAAGAACATTATAAATAACACATACTGTATCATTTCATCATCTGATGAAGAACATTATAAATAACTCGTACTGTATCATTTCATCATCTGATGAAGAACATTATAAATAACATGTACTGTATCATTTCATCATCTGATGAAGAACATTATAAATAACACATACTGTATCATTTCATCATCTGATGAAGAACATTATAAATAATATAACTGTATCATTTCATCATCTGATGAAGAACATTATAAATAACTCATACTGTATCATTTCATCATCTGATGAAGAACATTATAATTTAATAACACATACTGTATCATTTTATCATCTGATGAAGAACATTATAAATAACACATACTGTATCATTTCATCATCTGATGAAGAACTTTATAAATAATACATACTGTATCATTTCATCATCTGATGAAGAACATTATAGATAACACATACAGTATCATTTCATCATCTGATGAAGAACATTATAGATAACACATACAGTATCATTTCATCATCTGATGAAGAACATTATAAATAACACATACTGTATCATTTCATCATCTGATGAAGAACATTATAGATAACACATACAGTATCATTTCATCATCTGATGAAGAACATTATAAATAACACGTACTGTATCATTTCATCATCTGATGAAGAACATTATAAATAACACGTACTGTATCATTTCATCATCTGATGAAGAACATTATAAATAACTCGTACTGTATCATTTCATCATCTGATGAAGAACATTATAAATTACACATACTGTATTATTTCATCATCTGATGAAGAACATTATAAATAACACATACTGTATCATTTTATCATCTGATGAAGAACATTATAAATAACACATACTGTATCATTTTATCATCTGATGAAGAACATTATAAATAACACATACTGTATCATTTAATCATCTGATGAAGAACATTATAAATAACATACTGTATCATTTCATCATCTGATGAAGAACATTATAAATAACACATACTGTATCATAAAAGACCACTAAACATATTTTCCTACCAAATATGAACGACATCAGACAATGCATTAAGGCTAAAAGTGAAACAAGCATATTATGTATTGTATAGGGAGGTAATTGAAAAGTCAAGCAAGTTAGCAAAGTACTTCCTCCCTCTGATTTTGTGACATGTTGATAAAATTCTTCCATTACCTTTCATTAGCATTATTATGTATCAAAAAGGAAGATAATTCAAGAACTACATTATGTAGAGTTGGTTCATTGCACTTTGCACTTTCTCTCATTAATCTCTAACTATTTGTAGCTTTGTTGAGTTTAAAGTTATACTAAGTCACAAGCATTTTTAAATATCATAAAGATTAAGCAAAGTAGAATTTGTAGTTTGTAACTTTCAACTATGCACTTTCTCTTACCTTTGTGAAAGTTTAATCATATCCCTTAACCTTTTACCCCATGAGCATGTTGTGAAAAATTCCCGTTTTCATTGAAAAGCCTCCTGTTACAAGTTCCAAATGCTATAAAACTATGAAAAATGCTTCAATACTGATGAAACTTGGCACATATGTTGACTGAACCATAACCTCTGTAACAACATGCTCAATCGTAAATTTCCTGTTACCATGGCAACAGGGGGACGTCTCAAAATTGCGAAAAATCATTATTTTGCATTGTTTTTTTTTCCCAATCAAAACTGATTTCAAAGTGCTGCAACTTCTCAATGCAATAAGATAGAGTAAAAGGCTTTTGAGCGTTGGTTACACGTCACCTTAATATCGACCTGAGGCCAGTTTTAGCCTGTCACATGTCCAAAATTTTCTTGGCGATGAGGGGGATTACTGCCCCCCCTTCATAACCCCCAAACAGAAGGTGGCACATCCCCCTTCTGACAACCCCTTGAATCATTTTGATTGGGGGGGGGGGCCCCAAAAAAGGGGGGGGGGGGACAAAAAGCCGTCAAAACACGTCTATATGAGGGAAAAGGTTAATACTTTTCAAGTTATTCTCTGGACAAGCATTATTAAATATTATATCAGGAAGTAATTAAAACAATATTATATGAAGAGCTATGGTTCTTTAACACTGCACCTTCTCCGACTTGCCTTTATAAATGTGTGTAGTTTTAAGCAGATATCATTGGTATTTTAAAAGTTATACTCATGACCAGCATTTCTTAATATTATATTATTGTTAGTATCATAAAGAGATAATTCATTAATACACATTAATTAAGCAAGGTAGAATTACAGTCTTAAACAATGCACTTTCTCTCACTAATCTCTATCATTGAGTGAATTTTTATCAAAATGTCATCATTAAGTTTCAAGTTCTTCTTTGGACAAGCATTATTAAGTATTATAAAAGAAGATTAGTATTTGTCTTAAATGCAGGCAATAAATTGTCCGGAATAAAATCAATATGTTTCTTTGAAAAACTTAATATTGAATAATCATGTTCTAAATAATACACTTCTATTTATTCTATTGTAACATTACAAGGAACTCTTTTTTCTGTTTACAGTTACATGGTCCTCTTTCTATTTTCGGTTATGCAAAATGACAGACAAGGGAGAAATGATTCCTTTATGTCATCAGAAAATAAGCAATAATAGCTCTTTGACACTGCACTATCTAGTCCCTATAACTGTGTGAAGTTTCAATGAGATATTCTGGACAAGCATTTATCAACTTAAAAGAGATAATTAAACAAGACCTGTCTGCATACAGTAATCTCAACTGTTCATAGTGCTGGATAATGAAATAAAGGCAACAAAGAAAAGGGGGCATAATTCTGAAAATCAAAACGAATTGGAAATAATCAAAATTATCAAAAATTGGTTTTCAGAATTGACACTCACTGTCTACCCCTTAGAACAGTATTTCAAATTTGATAATGAACAAGTACATGTACTCTCAAGTTAAAAGTAAAAGGACAAAAAAAATCTTATGTGAAAAGGGACATAACTTTGCAATTTTTTTTTAAGGATTATCTGCCCTATTGGAATGACATCCTTGTATAGACCCCCCCCCCCCACCCCCCTGCAAAAAAAAGCCAATGTCAACTTAAACAGAGAAGGTAATGTTACGCGAAAGTTGTTCAATACTTGTCTAATTATTCTCCAAGCAAGAGTGTGAAGGACAGACATTATAATGAAATAGCACTTGTGTGGCCTCCGCATTGTTCTCCTAATTGCTTACTTAGCCTCATATAATGATTTTAGCCATATCAACACCTAACTGAATGAATAGCATCCAAGAAAATTTACTGTTATCTGTTATACTCGTATCAACCTAAGATCATAATTATCAGGTTGGAATTATGGAAGGATGTAAAATTTGGTGACTATATGCTTTCCCTTTTCCCTTTGTTTGGGGGCAAAACACAATAAAAAACAATTTGATAAACCTTTACAGTAGGTACTAAATAGAGCAGTGTTTTGGTAGATATTTACCTGAAGATGAGCTTGTACTGGAATCACTTTCACTACTTGATCTGTTGTTTTTCCTCTCTTTGTTTGTTTTATATAACTTGTTAATTCTATCTACTGTTGCATCAGCTTCTTCATCTAAAAAACAAAAACTAAAAATGTGTCTATTGGACAGTATGACAGAGGGATAGAGAAAAAGTTTTACATGTCTCCCCATACCTTTAAATGGTGAAGGGGGCATAAAAATGACATCAATTTTTTTCAATGTTGACAACTTGATTTTTCCCAACCACAGATGCATAACTTCACATGCTGACCAACAGTCCTGTAAGCTTTCATGACTGCCGGTCAAATATTTTTAAGCAACACATCACACAATTTGAATATTGCAAAGTCATGGGCAAAAAGTCTCTTATGACTGGGTCAAATATGTTTTGGTCTATCTGGACACAAGTTGAAAATTGCAAAGTTTTACTTAGTCAAGGGCAATATCTCTACGAATACATGTACTGCAAACCCTCAGGTGCACAACTACACATGCTTACCAAAAATTCTGTAAAGTTTCATGACTCTAGGTCAAATAATTTTAGTCTACATAATTATGACAGTTGAAAATTGCAATTGCTTAGTTTACAGAGTGAATACATAAAATGCGTATCTCCTACAACTTGGCTTCAATGTAGTCTAAACTTTACCTTCTGTAGTAGGTTTTGTTCTTTCAATGGCAGTCTTTTTAGCTTCTTCAAACATTGCCATGAAATCAAACTGGCGCGCTTTTTTCTCCGGCACTTTTTCTACAATAGGGAAGAAGTTTAAAAGTAATATATATCACTAAAGAATTTTCCATCTCTGTGAAAATAATAATAAATTTAAACATCATTTTCAACATAAAGTTTAACAGAGAATAATAGATATCAATAAATATTTAATTTTGAATCAAAGCTTTATTTATGTGTACATTATATAAGGAAAGCCATGACCTCCCCCACCCTCACTTTTGTACAGTTTCATTGTACAGTTTCATTGGATGATGCTACACACAAAATATCTAAGCTCTAGGCCTTGCACTTTCAGAGGATTTTAAAGACTTTATTCTTCAAATCTTTTTTTTTGCCCTTCTGACCCAGTTGTTCAATGGAGCAGAACCATTTGAACAATTTTAGTTGGAATATCCCACGAATATTTCATCAAATTTGACCTGATAGTTTTAGAGGAGACGTTGTTTGAAAAAAAGTTGATGACAGATGCTTGTTCTAACAAGACAGTACTTATGTGGTTTCTCTATTGTTGGCACTATTGTTCTTTTTAGCCATATAAAGGAAAATAGCCACATAAAAGCCTTATGGAATGAATGACATCAAAATAAAGTACAGTTACCTATTCTTTCTCTAGCCATAAGTATTTAAATGAAAGCTCACACTGACACACTGATGTATAAAAAACTCCAGAGAAATTGTGACTACAAAAGCTTATCTTGAGCTCTTTGTGATCTAGTGAGCTTAAAAAATAGTTAGCAATAAGTTTCTGGACAGCAACCAGACCAAAAACCTGACTGTAGCATAGCTTCGAAAAAGTCAAGCTAGAAATATAATAGATTAATTGCATCATACATACCAGTATTTTCAGCCATTTTTAAAATGAAGTTAATATTGATCCAATTTATTCTGGCATATCAGATCCCTACAAAAAAGAAATAAAACTAAATGTATACAATAGGTTTTTTATAATGTGACTCATTCATCTTAAAACAAGAACTTTCATTGGAACATATCAGGGTCCAGTAGTTGAACCGTGACTTGACTTGCTTGAAAGAAATGGTTACTATTAAAAGAGTGTTACAAGAACATATAAACATTAACAAATACTTTCAACTTTTATACTGTCAGCCTGGCATTAGAGTGTGACAAGTTTTCATAACATGCCACAGAAATATGCTTAGTTATTTTAAAATCCATTTATGAATGGCAATATTGATGACTGGATATAACCATTGGTGTATTTTTATGAAACTTTTTAGCCTTAGAAGTCATAACATGTCCTTGACCTTTAAGCTACAAACACAGATCAAAAATTGTTCATAGAGCAAAGCTATTTAAGCCAAGTTATTACAAAATCTTAAAGACATGGACTGGACACAACTATGATATCAATGCACTATCATATCATGACTTTTGACATTCAAGCTTTTCACAGATCTACTCACAATTATCATGTTTGACATATAATCATTACCTTGAACTTTAAACTGGAGATCAAACCCCTATGCACGACAAATCAACATCATGCCTTTTACATTTATGCCAAATTATTTTAAAATCCATCCAGGAATGACAGAATTGTTGACCAGACACAACCATTAATGCACTTTGATGTAAAAATTCATATAATGACTTTGGAATACAAGTGTGACCTTGACATTGGGACCTGATTCATATGCTATAAAGATCGTCATTATGTCCAACACATTTATGCGTAATAATTGTTAAATCCATCCAGGAATGACAGAATTGTTGACCTGACATGAATAATAGTGTACTTTTATAAAAATTCATTTCATGATTTTTGATCTACAAGTGTGACCTTGACCCCTGACCCTTGCGCGCAACACATCATCATTATGTCCAACACTGAAATAGTGCAAAATTAATGTAAAGGAGGTTTTTCCATACATGGGCTGTCACCTCTTTTGGAGCTTGAGCTAGAAATCATCTAAAACAACCTTTTTGACAAATTTCTAGGATATTTGAACCCAAACTGGAATGTTAACATAATTTTTCTATTAATGGCTTTTGTGACCTAGTTTTTCATCTAAGATGACCTATGTTTAACTCATCCAAGCAATTACTTGAACAAACATTCTGACCAAGTTTAGTGACAACTGAGGCAAAAATGTGGCCAGTAAGGTACTAATCAAATAAATGTGAACGTATGGCTGAAGACAGACATTCATTGATCCTCAAAGCTATCCCTCAGCCTCAGGTGAGCTAAAAATTCAGATCATGACTTTTGATATACAAGTGTGACCTTGAACTTTGAGGTAGGGACCTGATACTTGCGTATGAAACATCATCATTAGGTCAAACACATTTATGCATTATAATTTATAATCAAGCAATGATAGAATTGTGAGTCTGACACGAACTTCATCAGTGTACTTTTATAAAAATTCATATAACAGCTTTTAACCTTCACAGTGTGACCTTGTAATTTGAGGTAGGGACTCAATTTTTGTGCTATCTAAAACTTCAACATGTCCGCTAAATACAATTAGTTTCATGCTAAAAATGTAACTTCTTCCCTTGCAAAAGTTTTCTGATTTGATGGAATTAATTAATCATCAGATAATGATAAAGTAGAAGAATTATATGAACTTAGATAGGAATCCTGAAAATTTCAGATTTTAAATCTGTGATATATTTTCTCTGTGATTTTTTAAAATAAATTTATCAGTATGGGTCCTAGGACTGACTGGACTATAAATCTATGAGTCCCAAAAGTTAATGGACACATTGAAACTTTGATGGCTTATGATTGCCTTTGTCATATCAATTTTAAAGGTAGATTTAAAGGGACAATACACTCAAAAATGAATTATATTAAATAATGATAATAAATAACAATGAATGCTAATGTTACTGAAAGGATCAAAAACTATCTTTATTTCCATCATTTTTGTTTGACATTTAATTGTTTATCAACTCTTCACATTCCTTAATATTTTTATGTTTTATTATTTATTATATCATATATCATATTATGTGCCACTTAATAAGTAGAATTCTGTAGAAAAATTTGAAGGTAGTTCATCAGCTTTTAGTAAGTTTATTATTATGCCAGGTTTATTTTAGAAAAAGTGTAAGATGCTGGGAACAGGTAGAGGGGGGAAAATTATACAAAAAAGTAAACTTGGGGAGAATTATGATGTTACAGAAAAACATGTTATACATAATTAACCCATTACTTCTTGAGCATTTTGTGAAAAATGGCTGTTTTCATTGAAAAGTCTCCCTTTTCAAAGTTCAAATTGCTATTAAACAATAAAAACTGCTTCAATACTAATCAAACTTGGCACAAATGTTGACTGGACCATTGCCTTTGCAACAACATGCTCAGGCTTAAATTTCCTGTTACCATGGCAACAAAGGGACATCTCAAAATTGCCAAAAATCACTATTTTGCGTTGATTTTTTCCATCAAAATTGATTTCAAAGTTCTGCAACTTCTCAATTGATTGAGATAGAGTCAAATGCTTTTCAGCGTTGGTTACACATTACCTTATGATGGACCCCAGATTCATTTTTAGCCCCTCACAAATCCAAAATTTTCTTGGCGATGAGGGGGGAGTGCCGACCCCCTTCAAACCCCCCAAGCAGAAGGGGGCACATCCCCCTTCTGGCAATCCCCTGATGTATCTTTTGGATTGGGGACGGCGCCGAAAAAGTGGTCACTTTTTTAAGCAACATTTCTCAAACAAAAACAAGTGTTGGGGGCCTAAATAAGGCATTTTGTCACCATTTGAGACAACAAATGATGTCAACAGATGGGGTGAGAAAAAGGCGTTAAAAGGTGTGTATATCGTGTATAATGGGTTAATATATACAAAACTACATAGTTCAGAGGCACATATATGTCCTTTTCTGTCCTTATAAAATCTTTATCATCATGTCAGTCTTGTTATGCCTTAAGGTAATTTTTGTATAAAATTGATTCTTGACCTTTTCGAAAACCTAGCTAAACACTGTTTTCCGGTACATTACGGATTTAGCTCTATAAGGTGAATTCCCCAGAGCTTTGTACAGAATGTAGCGGAAAACGGTGATTAGCTAGGTTTTTGAATTCGCGAATAAAGTAGCTATCATAGTATATCTGTGACACATTTCCCTCCAAACAACATTTAGCTAGGTTTTTGAATGGTTTGGAACTGGGTTTTTACATGTAGAAAAAATCTTTTGGGGTTTAGTTGCATGGTCATGTCCGACATAGCAAAAATACAAATTTCAACCAAAATGTTGCTTTTGTTGTTCAAAAACAATTTAAATGGAGACAATGTTATTGTCAACTTTATTAGTGATGTCATTTAACTGCAATTTGATATATAGCTTTATATGATTTACATAAAAGTAACTTAGCAATTTTACTTACACTAGACTAGTGACATTTGGCTGATTGGTATGTTCAACCCCTTGTCTATAATTATATTATACATGGAAGTCAAAGGCCCTAGCAAAAGCGGGCCTGGACTTTGGCCCCTAGCTATAGACTACATGTGTATATTTAAAAGGAAATCAAATAAAAAACAATTTAAGGTGACAACAGAGTCATTTATCACTGAAAATGCCTAAAATAAGATTTTTTGCCTAGTAGATTTATCAACCTTTTCTGAACACATTTGTGATTTAATTTTTGAAGCAGTTAGCACCAAAAATGTGTTTTTAAACGTTTTAAAACGGTACCTATTCCATTTTCATCTGCTATTCGCGTAACCTGTCAATTATCCATAACGCTCCACCCCCTGTTGAGGCATCAATGAGGGAAATCAGTAGTTTCATATATCTGTGAATTACCGGACCATACTACCCATAATACATGTATCGTACAAATACTATACATCTTTTATGAATATCTCAACATTTTATTAAGCCTTTTTATAAATTAAGACATAGTCGGCCCAGATGTAACAAATAATTTAGAAAAGCCCCAATTTGCATAACCATGGGGATGGTTAAAACAATGTAGCTGCCTATTATATCAATAATGTGTGAAATAACAATTTGTTTGTCCCGTAATCTGATAGACATTACATTGAGTTTATACACAAATACACAGCCAGCGGGACATTGATATAATTTAATAATGATGATTATAATAAAAAAACTTCAAAAGAGAAACAAATAAATTATCCCGCTGGCGGTCGCACGTTAAATGCGTTCCATTTCCCCCCACAGAGTGCCTCTAATTTTTCCAATAGCCATGTGACATCTGAGACAGATGCCAGACAGACAGTATATCACGTTAAAATTTAAAGAAATTTCTGCTATTAATCCATATAAATCAACAGATTTTTAATTGGTCAGATGTCACTGGGTAATAAAATCGGTCGGTCTTGCAGGAATATTGAGACTAACGTAGGGCTAGAAATTCGAATCCTTACAGCTAGTCTAGTCCAACTAATTGTACTCCGCGACGAGATATTGTGCTATTTTCGTGTCTGGGCAATATCTCGCCTCTACGTACAACATAAAAAGTACCTTTTCTGTGGTGAAATTTGCGCCGGGATTTTGAGCGCAAGCTTTGGACCGTCTAAAATCGTATTAGAATTCATATTTGAATAAATTTGTTACGATACCTTTAAAGATTATTCATTTCTACATCAATTTGATGTTTTATTTGTGAAAATATTCCTAACATAACGATTTTAATAGAAAAGTAAACACATGCACCATTAAAATAAAGACATCGCCGCTAATGTCACGTGACCAATACACTGTTGATAACTACACTGGTGTGTATGCGGTACTGCGTTACTGAGAAACAACGAAACACTCTTAGTAAAATATCAAGTTTAATGTTATATTTAAGACATTTATATATGCAAAAATTAATAATTATGAAAGGATGAAAATATTATTTTATTGGAGCAGATGCACAACTTATTCGTTATTGTCAGAGCGTTCTTAGAAATATCAGAATCATCATTATCTTTTATAGAAAAGCTACTCTGTAAATGGACTCCTCACTAAACCGTTTCTTGTTTATAAAAATATATTTTGTTCAGCTTTCCAAGTAAATATAGGACATGGGACCTATTGGTATCTATAGAATTTTTTTCCCACGATTATGATGAAAATAGGGATATGATAAGAGCAGAAACACGAGGTTTATATGTTTTAAGAGCAACGTACGGATTCCTAGTGCCTTAGCGACTACGAGAAGACACCATTCTAAGGAATTTGACAGTCTGTTATTTTTAATCAGATTGATTAACTATTAAACGATACTTTCAATGTTCAAAATAATTTTATCAATAATAAAACGAATAAATGTCAAACGCGGTGCCTCGACATTATACATGTATGTGCGAAAACAACATTCCATGTAAATTTCTTTTCTTTTTTTAATTTCTTATCCACGCAGGCCCATAATTCTGGATTGTTTACTCCAAAAAGCTTTCTGAAGATGTTTTTTAGAAATAAAAAAGACACACACAAACGTAGCTATGAAAATTGTTTTAAAATGACCGTGGTAGCAGAGAAAAAATACTCGGAAATTTATTTCATGAAACAGGTGCCCGTTTCATTTTGTTGTTGTTGATTTTGTTTTGCAAAAGACTTTCATAAATTATGTTGGTATACAGTAAATATTTATTCCATACATTTCACTTTTATGCTAAGAAATTATTTTCTTTTATAAAATACATGCATGGCGAGGTGCGATTTGAAGAATCAACGCGGTTATTTTACAATGTTACATAATCAAAATGCTGCGCCGCTAATTTCTTTCACGACCACTTGGGGATGTGGAGCTCAAAACGCCTTTAAAATCCAAATAAAATGAATATTTGTCAATACCAGCACATGAACTGATCATATATATCACAAAACTTAATATAAGCCGTTTTGAAAAAAGATATATTTCAACGTCTATAATAATTCACAAGATAAAAATGTTCGCCGGGAAAAATCCGCACACCTGCCGTCAAAAACACTATGTATTTTATTCTGTTTCCAATATTTTCACAAAATCATTTGGCTTATCTTCACGATGATGGTCAATTTTAAACTTCAATGTCATAAACAACGCAACAGGCAAAATAAACATCGAGATTATCGCCGCCACAGGTGGCAGTATCAGTGTTTGGACACCCCACCCCTATCTGCCCCTGGACCCCTACTACAACCCTGAAAAAATAATGATTCAACACTCTAAGGCTTACTTTAAGGTACCAAATACAAAACCACCGATGAAATTATATAAAAAAAAATTTTTCCACTATCAAAATTATAGTTTAACTATAATTATATAACTATAATTTTGATAGTGGAAAATTTTATTTTTTTTAAATTTCATCGGTGGTTTTGTATTTGGTACCTTATAGTAAGCCTTAGAGTGTTAATTTTTTTCAGGGTTGTAGTAGGGGTCCAGGGGCAGATAGGCGTTGGGTGTCCAAACACTGATACTGCTACCTGTGATCGCCGCTTTACTCCATTTACAAAATCTTTCGACAAATTCAAACGTGTCTCCCCAGCTTTGACAAATACACATTTTATTTGGATTTTAAAGGCATTTTGAGCTTCAAAACCCAAGCGTCTGTGATTTCTTTGATTCTTGTGCAATCTTATAAGATTTAAGGGTTATGCAACACGTTTACTCATTTTAAACAATAATATGATACAGATTGTTACTGCCCCAAACATTAAAGGTGTTGCTTTGGAAAACGAACTAAAAAATCGGTAAGAAATCACGGCGCCTTTTCAGTTCTTTTTTTCTGTATTTTTTTGAGTTTCTGATATAGAACGATAATTAGATTATCTATGATTATAACCTGCAAGTAAATTTAGATAGAAAACCAGAAAAAGTTCCTAATAATTAAATGCCACAACTCAAAACTTAAAAGTTGGCATATCTTGCGTAAAATGGTAAGCCGGGAAAATGTACTGAGGAAACATCTAGATCTGGACCGTAACACATTTAAATTCTTACCACCGTTTAAACAACTTACATAAATGTATTATAGAAAGAAATTTAAGCATAAGATTATCGTCTTTAAAATAAATCATCAAGTATATTTATAATTATAAATTGAAAAATAAATACCTGCAATAAAACCTAAAAATAACTTCTTTTCAATTTGGACCGTGTCAGCATGGAAAATTGTTTAGCTGATGCCGGAAAGGAATCACGGCTCGAATATAAATACTAATTTATATAAATCTAATTTATTTATTTAAAACATAATCTTATAAATTTTAAGTTGACACAAAGAAATTAAGTAAGGAAGAAACAGGACTGAGCATCAATTATTAATAGTGTCAACATTTCCGAAGTGTATATTGGCCAGCTTACCGGTGTCGGTGTTGTGAAATAGTTGACACATTTTAAAAATAAATATTAGGTTGAATATATTTTCTATAACGGGACAAAAACATTTCTGGAACATCGCTTAAACAACACCAAATATCCAAGCCATTACGGCATGCTATGATAACCGTCTTTTATTACACGGATAAACGGTACATGTACACAGGTTCTTTCAGATACAGACAAACGAAAAATGGGCGCTCGGAGTAACGAGTTTTACTTTTCTGAAAACTGTTGAGGAATAAAAATTAACGCAAGAATTTACCATTTGAATTCAAAAAACTTTCATAGCGGAATGCACGTTTAAAAAACCAAACTTTTCTATAGGCAAGGAGTTGCTGTTTTTAATACACAGCAAGTTGTGACTAACATAATTATACTACCATAGATAATACTACTGAGTGGTGACAATATAAATTTTAATGAAATACAGTATTTTGTTTATCCTTTAATAAATATGTTTATAAAAAAGAGGACTAAATTAAAAGTTTCCCGCATCATTTTAAAGATTTCAATCAATTAGAAAAATCTTTAAAGATAATTTCCTGGCGATTTATTTTAATGCAGCAATACATGTAATTAATAATAACAACATTACAGAAAAATTACCACTGTTGAATAGTTTTACATATTTTTTTAGCCACGAAAAAAAAATGACAACATTCACGCACGGTACCGAACAATATCGATTTTTAGCGTACATGTTACATTACTGTAGCAACATCACAATATGGCGGCGTTGGTACACAAATGAGACGGTGAAATGAAACTAACGTGGTTAACTTTCTTCTAAGTTGATAGTCTGGCACTTTTTGTGCCGTTAATTCCTTAAAATTGTATTGTTGAATAAATTCTTAGTTTAAATTGTCTGCATTTTCACATTTACATCGAAATCCACGTTTCACCACAGAAAGGTCTCCTTTTGGTTTTGACGTAAAAGCGAGATTCTGCCCCAGAACGAAAATATCTCAGAATCAAGCTTTGGCACATCAATATATTTTGACTAACAGCTAGTCCTGCCTCATTTTATGGAATAGAAATAATGAAGCATGCATCTTTAATGGCAGTCTGATGTGACGTGAATAATATAGAAATAAACGAAGTTGTACAAGAAAATAATAATAGATCTAGTGGTCAGGGTATCGTATTGTAACACGGCCAGTGATTGGCTGAAAAAAAGTGCAGGGAAAACCGTATGATTCAGTTTATACATGAGGCGATTGGATGAAAGTGGGGTGTTTTTAAGTATAAAAACTAATTTAAAAAGTAACACTACAATGTTTTCTGAAGAAAATGAAATATTTCATGAGTCTCTGTGATAATTTTGACTTGGATATTTGCATTTATAAAAAGTGTATGTCAGTCCTGTGATCAGCAGAAAATTTCAATGAAATGGGGGGTAATCCTCTTTGAAGTCAATTTGCAAAAAATTTGGTCGGCTACCCCTATATAACAGAAACATTTTTATGTGTCAGGCATTTCATTCTGCTAGAAAAAATACCTCTTTAGCATGAAAACTGAATTTTAAGGTAGGATAAGGGACCATTTCTTATAATGTAAGTCTATGGAAATATCAATGTGAGTGTCTGACCTAGTGATAAAAAAAAACACATCGCGAATACTAATTAAATTATATACTATACAGTATAGAGCTAATAGCTTAAATATATTCGGAATGAAAACAAATAATCTAATAGAAAGACACGTCATATGTTAGAAACAAACTGAATTTTAGAACAATGATTGTCTTAAAAGACTAATTAAAAAAAAAAAAAAAATGAACCTGATCTTGAACGCTTGATGTTTACGATTATCAGACGCTTGGATTAAGGTTGGAGGCTACTAATAATTAAAAGTAGTTTTACAACACTAAATTCGTTCCTTCAGCATAATTTTGTACCCTGTGTTCTATAGCTAATCACAATCGCACATATTTTTGCCCTTTCCGCCAGTCTTCGGATAAAGTTTTTATAAATAATAGCCGAGGACGTTCCGATTGAATTTAATCAGACACATTTGACACTCCGGCACGGGTCAACTCGGTCAAATAATAAAAAAACATAATAGGATATAGAATGTTTAGGCAATAAGTCATTTTTTTAAGATGTAAATTACTATATAATTATACAAAGTTAGGATCACCAACATATAGAAATTGAAAAAATCGGCAGCATATAAATGTTTAAAATTATCTTTGTTTATGAGACTTATCAAGTCAATGTGTTCTATGATTGTTACATAAATGAAGTGTTCTGTTTAAAATTTGTGGCAATAAATATAATCATATTCAACACTGTTTGGTTTTTATAACACCCAATTGATGCTGTTTGAACGATATTTTCTACAAAAATATCTCACATTCTTTCACCAATAAAACTTTTAAATTACCATATAACTATAAACTGAAAACGTTAAACAGTGAAAGTAATGATGAACATATATAAAAAGTTATAACAGTAAAAACTAATCATTATCAGTAATATATAAATATGGACCGAGATTACTTGGGGCCGAGTTAGTTTTAGGGCCGACTTGACCCGGATTCCATTTGAGGCTTAATCTAGCTATATTTCATTGTTCTTGATGACTACGGTCTTAAATGTGTTAAACAGTCAAATCAGGTCCGAAATATAATATAACTATGTCATTCTGATCAACCCAGACTTACGTCAAGAAAAGAAAGGACTAAAAACAAAGAAGTCTGATAATATAAATACTTTTACTGGGGAATCAGACACGTCAGAAATAAAACAATCAGAAATGATAATATGACTAAGAATGCTAACAAAGTATACAATATAAATAAAGTGATATTAATGAGTAAAGCATAAATGAATTAAACAATTCCGCACATAACAATTAAGCATCATAATTAAATAACACTTTAAACATCATAATACTTAACAGAACATAACATCAAAAATTACATCAAAGCACAAATAAAACATTCACATTCCAACATTTAACATAATAAGCAATAATAAAAATGGGTGGGAGGGAGTTGCGAAATTGAAGAACAACTAAAGGAATGACTTGTCAAGCAGGCCTCGACACTAACTTTTTCAGCAAGTGGTAAGCCGGACCACTAGATTTGAACTTTATGTGGTCCTTCAAGAAGTAAGGTGGTCAGTTGTTATTATTATTGTAACATTTTACTGCAAATTTAGAAAAATATATGCTTAAAATTGATGACAAAGATGTATTATTGACCTTTAAAGAAAACAGGTATCTTCAGACATATATATTTTTATCTAATCAGAAATTAAAGAGGGCAAGGTATTCTATTGTAATGTTATTTGGCTTTTATTTTTATCTCATTCAAAAATACAAAACAGGGCTCTTATTTCTGTTAATTCTTACATTGAAGTGATTTCTCCCTCAACTCAAGTTAGGGAATAGTGAAACCATTTGTGTCTGTTATTCAAATATTCATTCCTGATACATGGTACGTCTTATTATCATAATTACATGTATCTTCTATAGATAACTGTTTTAAAGAAAACTGATAAATAACATATCTTATTCTTGTTTTTAAAGGATAAAAAATAATGACAATATAACTATAGTTAAGCTTATTTTTCTCACTCGTTCATTATGAATACAGATTTTTATTACCTTGTTTACATTTATTTTTGACATTGAGTAATTTTAAACTTTAAAAGTAATTTTATCTCTGGAAGAAATAGATCTATTATCGTTAAACAGTTAACATTAAGATAAGTAGCAACAAATTATTAGATGTATTTTTCAAGTTCCTTTCGTTTGCTGCCATTATTCAAGTATCTGAAATTTAATTTTATCCGATAACCTATACATTACTAGTATGATAATTACCGACGATGCATAATTACTAACACCATTTGAATGAATTTTGTACCTAAATTATTATCACAAATTCTTAACTCTTTTAATTAACTTGCAAAAACAAAATTTTAGCGACTTAAAATGAAAGTTTTTGATGACTTAAGGACGTCTTTAACTATTCAGAGATTAATGAACTATATACATGTACCTCGAACAAATGATTTTAACAAAATGTATATAACATGTTTTTGACACAAATCGCCATTCTCCCAAATGAGCATTGCACAACCATCAAAATTCAAGTGGTCCGACGGACCAGTGGCTTTTAAAATTAGGTGGTCCTTGCCAAAATCAGGTGGTCTCGGACCAAGGACCACCGCTAATGTCGAAGCCTGCTTTTAAATAAACGTGTCTGACAAAAACTGTGCAGTTTACGCGCAATGTTGAATATTTATAGACGGCGTAAGAATACAAAAATTCAATGAACCAAAACAGTTAACCCAGGCAAATACAAATGACGTTATCAACACTAATAATAGATAAGGAAAATCCCACGCCAATCCATAATTAAAAGATTTTCTATGTAGAAAATGCTGTAGTTAGCAAACTACATATTTTCCAGAAATCTTCATTCTTTTGTTATTTTGTTTCAATTAACTACTTTAAAAACTTCCGACTGCTGGCGGGTAGTTTATCTTTAATCCTTCCGTCAAGATTTGAGGTTCTTGAAAATACAATAATCCCCAACTTTAAAAGCCATCACATAACACGCAAAAACTATAAAGATGCAATAAATACACGTTCAATATGACCAATCAAACTTAATTATAAGAATACTTAAATTGGGGCACCTTAAAATGCTCAAAAAGTATTTTCTAGAATCAATTCTCACCTGCTCTATGCTCTGTAGTATTTAAAAGCACCATTTGAGGGATAAATTCTGTATTACAAAATCCCTGTTGAGAATTGAATATCCTGTCTTCAACTTTAAATGACAACACTCCCCTGGTAAATGTCAGAAATATCTAATGTTACCACCTAATTGCTTAAGAAAATGTTGGGCCAAGCCTCAAACCTGCAGACACATAACATCAAATAAATGGAGAGATCTTTTAAGAAAAGGCAATTCTTTTAGTAATATTTCACACTGGTTATTGTGCTACTTCTTTTTTACCTAATACATCTAAAATGCTATGTTGATACTAGACATGAAACTCCCCGATCCAACCTTACTCGCTTGATCTTTAGTCATATCAATGATTAAACGTGTAACAAATAAAATCTATTCCTAAAAGAATAGCTAGAATATTGTTATAATCTTTACAATATTACACTCCACAAGTATTGAGAGTCCAAGACCATTTAGTCCCTTTAGAAATCTGTAAATAATGGCACCTAGGATGGATATATATATTCTATGGAATCGTGGAATCGCAATTTGACCCACTCAGTTAAACACATGAGAAAGGCATCTTTATTGCTTTACCTTTCCCCTACGGACAAGAGGAGTGTATATACCCCTCTTGACAACCAACCTAGGGTTAGAGTTAGGGTTAGGGTTGTAAAAGAATACTTTCAAAATACTTGTATAGAAGAAATATGTCTAGGAAGTATATGTACTTAAAAGAAAACGGAGCCTTTGGAGAAGAACTTTATTAGGTTTGTTATATTTTTTTCCAACCTATTTCTACAGTATATATACTGAACGTATGCATATTATGTATAGTGTATGATCTGAAATAAAAGATATTATAACTTAAAGCATATGACATATGCACGAAACGGTTAAAATAGGGGAAATACAATCCCTAAAGAACGTCTAAAACAACAAAGTTGAAAATGTTGCAGGCTCTGTTTGATTGAGGATGTTCACGAACGTTACTGGGTTAGGGTTAGCAAGTTACCGTCCAAGCGCCCAAACCCTTACATAAAATAGCGGCATTATATTTTTTCCAGAACAATTTTATCCGTTTTCGTACCATAGTCATGTGTGTTAATTAACAGATACATTCTATGTTATAGTTCTAACGAGAATCGACCATCGAATAATATTACTGTTAACGAATTTTATTTATCTAGTAGAGCTTTATACAATTGAACTACTGAGTTAACTCAATGGTTAAGTTAACTTTTGAGTTAAACGTTTTATCCAGGGATGTGTTTGATAAAATGTCATTAAGTCTGAAATCAGTTTAAAGGCCAGACTTTAAATGATTTTGCGTTTCAAAGAAAATGGTCTAGTGGTATTATGTCCTAGGATTAAGGATACACTTAGGAATTTATATGAAACGCAGGCGAGTTGTATAAGCATTTGGTTAAATTCACCCCAACCTAAGCGTGTAACAGGCTTAATTTGATAAATGGTTTTACAAATTAGTGTCTATATACTTAGGTTTGGTGAAACTCTCACTCAAAAACTTGAATTTTAGAGTGTCTTCAATCCAAAGAAGAATGGACAACTTAATAACACATAAATCTAAATCTGAAGTATAAGAATAGATTCTTGCATTAATTTACTTATTGTAATTATTATATATTGTGTGCTTTAAACATTTTGGGACACAGAGAGAACACTTGTTTTATTTGTTAACATTTACACAGTTAGTATAGTATACAAGGCAATAAGTATCGATGCTTGCTTTTAACGCAAAATATATTTAAAATAGAGGAAAACGAAATCCCTAAAGAAAGACCAAGACGACAAAATTGAAAATGTCGCAGGCTCGTTTTGATTGAGCCTGTTCATTGACCTTACTGGAAAGTTTAAAGCCGCGGATAAAATTTTTAATTTTATAACATTCTTTTAATTGATGTTTATACTTTCATGTTTATTACAAGGAACACAATTTAATTGAAGTGGTTTATTCATTAACCTTGTTTCGCTGACATAATTGTACACAGCACTTATGTCGGTCAAGTAGATTGTGTTCTGAAATAAGTCATTTGTAAGTTGGTTTTAGAAGAAGAAAGATGCTTGTGATATTTTATCTTGTTGGGATTTTTATTTCCGAAGTGAGATGGTAAGACTATAATTATTTAATGTGAATAAATCGTTTCATGAATATCGTTTTTAATTATAAATTATATCATATAAGAACATTTATTTTGTAAAATAATCGATTTTATAAGGTTTTAAAGCTGCCGATAAGCATAACAAATTTTTAAATGCTTTGGCAATTTGAAAAGACAAAAACCAAAGCAATATGCACGGAAGCGCACGCCTTACATATACAATGACTTAAAGTGTATAAAGCTGAATATCTGCTGCCTGCAAGTTACAAAATAATTTTGAAAAGGAATACTTCTATGTGTGTATATGTCATTTAAAGCAAATGGCGCATGTATGTAATAATTGCTAAACGCAAAACCTCTAGCTAATAGCGGCATAATATTTTGTTCCAGAACATTGTATTCTGTTTACATAAAATATTCATGTGTGTTAGATGACAGAGGCATTCTCTGTTATAACTCTTTCGAGACAACAGTTGTTGCAACTTCAAAATTTGATACATATTCAACGTAGTAAAAGAAATGAAAAATAATTAACTCTCTTTAAAGAATATGACGTAATGAGATCATGAAGTGATTTACTGAGGTTATCATATTTATGTACACGTATATTTTCAGTGGTTATTATTTTGTATTGGCGCCTAATGTAATCCGTTTTGATCACGAGGAGACAGTTGTTGCGAGCGTATTTGGTCTCAAAAACGCAAAGATAAGTGTAAGATATAAATTAATGTTTCTACGTTAACGTGTTTATACATCTATAGTATTATATAAACAAGTAGAAAACTCTATAGTATCTTTTCTTTCATAAAATGACACTATCATAATTAAAAAGGTAAGATCCATGCCACATTACTTTTAATTTGGTTTATTATGATTTGTTTTAACACGTTTGTTTAATCTAGGAAATATGCGGCCTGTTACAGAATTTAAGCAGCACACCTCAAATGTAAAATATATCTCCAAAGACGCGAAACTAAAACAATATATACTTAAAGTGTATATAATGTGGATTTTTTTATAAACCAGGTAAATGTTATGCAAAAATGACTAAATTTACTTTTTTTTCATATTCGGAACACCTCGCTGAGTTATCACAATCTTCAGAGCTAATATGAGTAAAAAATAATTTTACCACATGACCTTTGATGTGAAGTGAGAATGTTATTTTTGTGTAATAAACAATGTATTTTTATGAAGTCTGCCAAAAAATAAGGTCTATTTCGATAATATTATGATTTAGATATATGTCTGACCAACTTGAATCAATTAAAACGACACACTGCAAGGGACAGGTCGTGAAGTGGTTGCACACTTGGTTCAAGCGAGAAAATTGGTTGCAAACTTGACAAAATAGATACTGAGTCGTGAATATTTACAACACTCGCACCTTTTTTTCTTGAGGTAAGTGGGTTTGTATGTTATTTTGAAAAAATAATAATATGCCCATTCCTTAAGGCAATGTTTATGACACACTCGTTTTTGGGTTTCACCTTCCTAGCTTCTGATTTGACGAAGTTATTGAAGTTATAATCTGGTAGTGTACGACGCATAAGTTTGCAACCAAAGTCCAAGTTTGCTACTGAAATGTGCTTGAACAAAATATGTTTGTGTATTGAAACTTTATTTGGAACATGCAAACTGAAACATTTACACAATATTGACAGAAACATATCTTGTCTTGTTGGTGAACTTCAAAACTTAAAGATGTGAATAAATGAGTAGAACATCCGACCAGAATTGTCACAATATGTACATGACCAGTCAAATCAGAAGCTAGAAAGCTGGAACCTTTAACCGAGTGTGACATTGTCGTAAGAATTGGGCATATTTTTTTCAAAATAACATACAAACCCACGTACCTGAAGAAAATACGTGCGAGTGTTGTAAATATTCTTGACTCGGTAGCCATTATGTCAAGTTTGCAACCAATTTTCTAGCTTGAACCAAATGTGCAACCACTACACGTGCTACCCCTTGCACTGGCTTACAATAATAACCAAATCCGAAAAGAAATGTCATTATTATGTATACATTTTGTACTTCCGGTTTCTTAAAACATAATTATCAGTATATAAATAATTTTTACTTTTATATTGATAACTAATATAATGAAACAAAATTTAAGCCAACACATCCTAGCATTGACTTTAAAATAATATCTGTTTACGTCTTAAATGTTTTAGCGTAGATAAGAACTAAATATTGAATCTGTTCTGTGTAGTCATTATATTTTGTTGGAAGTCCTTTTCCGATTTGACGGAAAGGCACGAGCATTTGCGATTGCTAATTTTTATTACAAACGCCTGCACATTTTCGTAAGTTACAAGCAATTACCGTTCACTTCATTTACTCTTACACTTGACAGTTTTTTCATTAATTAGAATAATTTTTTTATATGGATTAACACAAATCTAGAAGCGTACAGTGGCTTAACATTACTCTTTTAGTTACACAGATAATCTCAAATATAATCGTACTATAGGTTATTTTAATTTTTTTATATTTTACCTATAAGCCAACATTTAGAACTATTTGTACATTTAAAAACGTTTTATAAACACTAACTATATCAAACATGTATGATAAGATTGTAAATGCTATTCTACATGATATCATTAAAATAAAAGATATGTTCTCATTGATTTCAAAATTCTGAAGTCTGAAAACTATACATTTATTGCTACCTTCATTTCAAGATTTCATTTTACTTGTGTCATGTTTATCCGCAGATTTGGCTTCAACATGGCGAAAAAAAGTTTTCTCAGAAAGATGTCACTGTCATTGATGAAGGTAAGACAAAAGTTCCAAAGAAGGAGTTTTGCTTTGCTTAAAATCGTATAGGTCAGAAGTTCCTCAAGATTGTACAATACGAGAATTATACATGTATATCGATAACAAAAATGGCATATTTTAGAAGATGATGTTCAGCTATAAATTCATGATTATTTTTGTTTATTACACTCGATGTGCATTATAAGTCATCTCGAAATCGCTTCGGGAAAAACTTTTTTGTTTTTGAGGCATAATGTGGTGATTATTTTACAAGTATTCATAAAGCAACAAATCTTTATTTTATTCTTTACTTAGTGCTCGCCAATTTTTTTAAGCCAATCACCGACGAGGATTTTTCAAATTTTCAGGTTTCAAGTATAGGTTAGAGTGCATATTGGGTGTTCTTCGTAAATAAGAAAGCTAAAAAGGAGCGGAGCTTGCGAAGCGACTGTAGCTTTCTTATTTACGAAGAACATCCAATATGCACTCTAACCGGCTTAGTGCTCCGCCCATTTTTTCCCCGCCCAACACACTGCGTGACGTCACACGATAGCCTAAATGTGTATAACCATATTTCGAAGAGGTAGCGGTACACATTTTCGGTTCACGTGTTTTGCATAGCTTATTCCCGCATTCTGTCTAGGTAAATCAGACAATATAACGGAGCATATCCATATCGGTACCCTCTTGGCGAAATATTCTTAAACGGTACCCTCTTTGAACATACACAGGTCATTCTCTGCTAAAAACAAACCAGTGATGGATAACAATGCAGTAAAAATTCTTTGTAATTAGGAAAGGAGGTATGACAGGTAGAAAAGATGTATACCACGGAACACTAGAATGTTTTATTTATGTGCTGATTTGTCATGTGCCCGATTTTCATGTACTGCAACTTCACAATAAGCTACAAAAAGTCGACATGTCTTGCCTCGCCCGTCACCTCGACATATTTTTCGGGCTGAAATGAACCTGTAGCTTGATTATATATGCAGCATACATATTGATTATGTTCATATACATATCATCTTCGGACAAATGGCAGTATATTGTCAAAAATAAATGTAAAATTAATAAAAACACCCTACTTTCGGTTTTGCAGCGGCACGAGCTGTAATATTTACATAAAAAGTAAGAAATATTACATACATACATTTTTTTGTACTTTGTTGGAATAAGTGAACTTTTTATTTGGAAATTATAAAATGATACTGGTCCCGTAAGTAATAAAACATTTTTACTGTTATTTTGCCTGTTTTCATTTAAATGAACCTCTTTTTTTAATTCTATGCCGTAGTGACGATATACATTATACATGTGCGTGTACGGAAAAAACATGATGCATAAATATTGATTAGTAGGTGTAAAATTCAAGATCTCTGCACATGCGTATATTTCACTTAAGCGCTCTTCGAAACTTAGCTCCGCCCACTTGCGTTTTATAATATAAAACGTCCAGTTTATATAAAATCTGTTCTATTAAGATTTGAAACCTGAAAATTTGAAAAATCCTCGTCGGTGATTGGCTTAAAAAATTGGCGAGCACTAAATCTTAATAGAACAGATTTTATATAAACTGGACGTTTTATATTATAAAACGCAAGTGGGCGGAGCTAAGTTTCGAAGAGCGCTTAAGTGAAATATACGCATGTGCAGAGATCTTAAAGTTTACACCTACTAATCAATATTTATGCATCATGTTTTTTCCGTACACGCACATGTATAATGTATATCGTCACTACGGCATAGAATTAAAAAAAGAGGTTCATTTAAATGAAAACAGGCAAAATAACAGTAAAAATGTTTTATTACTTACGGGACCAGTATCATTTTATAATTTCCAAATAAAAAGTTCACTTATTCCAAAAAAGTACAAAAAATGTATGTATGTAATATTTCTTACTTTTTATGTAAATATTACAGCTCGTGCCGCTGCAAAACCGAAAGTAGGGTGTTTTTATTAATTTTACATTTATTTTTGACAATATACTGCCATTTGTCCGAAGATGATATGTATATGAACATAAATAATATGTATGCTGCATATATAATCAAGCTACAGGTTCATTTCAGCCCAAAAAAATATGTCGAGGTGACGGGCGAGGCAAGACATGTCGACTTTTTGTAGCTTATTGTGAAGTTGCAGTACATGAAAATCGGGCACATGACAAATCAGCACATAAATAAAACATTCTAGTGTTCCGTTGTATACAACTTTTCTACCTGTCATACCTCCTTTCCTAATTACAAAGAATTTTTACTGCATTGTTATCCATCACTGGTTTGTTTTAGCAGAGAATGACCTGTGTATGTTCAAAGAGGGTACCGTTTAAGAATATTTCGCCAAGAGGGTACCGATATGGATATGCACCGTGATATTGTCTGATTTACCTAGACAGAATGCGGGAATAAGCTATGCAAAACACGTGAACCGAAAATGTGTACCGCTACCTCTTCGAAATATGGTTATACACATTTAGGCTATCGTGTGACGTCACGCAGTGTGTTGGGCGGAAAAAAATGGGCGGAGCACTAAGCCGGTTAGAGTGCATATTGGATGTTCTTCGTAAATAAGAAAGCTACAGTCGCTTCGCAAGCTCCGCTCCTTTTTAGCTTTCTTATTTACGAAGAACACCCAATATGCACTCTAACCTATACTTGTAACAGACATTTACCATCTGTATGTTAAAAATACAGAGTGAGAACAACTCGAAATTACACCACGGCAACAATAACTTTGAGTTTTTTTAGCTTTAAATGATTTATTCAGCATACATTCATTTCACATGCAATTCACATTTTCAAAATAATGTGTAAAATTATGAAATGATTACCGTATAAATAATGTGTTTAGACTAGTTTTATTTCATCTAATTTAAATATTATGAAAAATATCTACAACGTATTCACTCATTCTGGATTTTACATCAAATAATACGCAAATGACATCAACGTTTTGGACTAAACATTACATTTTTTACGATGCCTTTTAGCTAAAGTTGTTTCATCAAAATTGAATTATAATAAAAAGAAACATCATTTGGAGTGTAATCTAAAAATGATATTTTTAATCTTCTTATATAAATAAACATGTGACTTTAGGCTTAATAAGGCTGTCAGAATATCAAATGCCAAAATAGAGAAATGCCAAAGTTTTATGTCATAATAACATTTTAGAAACTCCATCACATGTAACAGTTGAAGCAAACGTTACGTCATTGTTCGACCCTGATATTGAAGAAGAAAAACCTAGAACGATTAAACTTTGTTCTCAGTGGAATGGGAAGAGTCAATGTAGAGATATAGTTCTTAGTTATAGAACTGGGTATTTGATTGTACAGACGGACAAACCTATTTACACACCTCGGCAAAAAGGTTGGTGGAGATTGTAAGATATGTATCAAACTTTTATATTTTTGCAATCTCTTGTTGAATACCATGTTATACATTAACTTAAGGCAATTTAAAAACGTTATAAATTTCTGCATATATGTTCACAAGATACATTCTGAAAAATACTTAAGACCCTGAAGAAATATGGCCTACATAACAAATAATTCAAAAGTTTGTAATTATCTGAATCTAAAGTAAAATACATTTATTCTGCAAACCTAAGTCTTATTTACAGTGAGAGTAAGGGCGCTGGCACTTGACGAATCAATGAAGGCTGTTGATGGTTGGCAAGTTGCCATGGACATTATTGTGAGTATTTTGCATTTATCACGAAGGTTATTTCTGTACAGCGACAAAGTTGAAGTTGTTTTTTCCGTTTCTACATACTTAATTCAAGCACAAACGTAGAAACATGATTGTTTCCTTATTAAAAGACCAAGGTTTTGCAAGTACTTGTTCTAATTATATGTAATTGGTTTAATAACTATCAAATTTGTAGTATACGCTGTCTAATAGTTTAGCCAGCCTGGATCCGACACATGATCATTTACATATTTACCATTTATACAGACTGCAACCACGAAGACTGAAGTACTGGTAGTTCTATCATGACTAACTGCCCGCTTATAGTTAGTTATTCATAAATCGTGATCTCCACTTAATTGAATTTTGCAGGCCAACGTGCTATCATTTTAAAGGGCACTGTAGTAAATACATACATGTATTTGAAGTGATCTTTTTCAACGTAAATACCTCCGGGTGGCGACACATTTCTTATGCCTGTGTATCCATTGGTCAAAAGTCACTTTGAACCTGTCTGAACTGAACGACGAAACTATCTCGCGCACCCTGGTGCGTTGCTCTAATTATGTTTCAAATCGTTGGCACATCAGTTCCTTCTTCAAATCGGGGAACAGACGGAAGTCTAATGGAGCAAAGTCTGGGCTGTACGGTGGGTGTGGCAGTGGACTGAACCCTAGTAGGCTTATTATTGTTGTGTATACATGATATTTGGTACTTTTGTATCTTCTTTTCGGCCATTTCAACTTGGGTGGTTCCAGTATTCCTACTTGAATACTGTATAATCACCCTTTTAGATGTGTTGCCTGCTTTTTAAATTTGGCTTTTGACGTCTTATCTGTGATATGCAGGCTTTATAACCTCAGATCCCCTTTCAAAATTCCATTTCGTTAAGTTCCTCCCATTGTTTTCTCGTTTAGGGCAAATGCATTCTTTTACGTGGGGACCATACGCCGCTTTTCATGGAATGGCACTACTGTGTCACATTGAAGGTTCCATGATAACCGCCGTATGAACACATCTGCGGATGTTTCTAAATTCAAAATTTCACCATTTTCGTGTTAAATGTTGAATTCTGCTTAAGCCGGTGCTAGGGGGCGTGGACGGTAACTTGCACTTTCCAGTACCGTCCATGAACAGGCTCAATCAAACCGAGCCTGCAACATTTTCAATTTTGTTGTGTTGAACTTTCTTTAGGGATTCTGTTTTTCTCTATTTTATCCAGTTCTGTGTCGTGAGCCCTGTGTGCGGGGAGATTATCATGGTGTAGAATAACATCGTTCAGGTCTAACTGAGGTCGCTTCCGGCGCAAGGCTTGTACCAAGTCCCAAGCATCTGAAAGTTGATAACGCACAACGACTGCATTGCGGCAAAAATTAAAAATGTATTTTCTAAAATTAAATAAACAATATTTATTAAATACTAGAACCGGCCAGATCTACACGTATTTATATAAAATTTTAAAATAACAGAATAGTAACAGTTATATATTTTTATTTTTACCTTTGAATAATATTCTGCATTAACGGTTGATCCGTTTCTCACCTTGTGTTGTAGCAGGAACCCATGCCTATCAATGAAGTATATATACATTTCCATCTTGGCACTTCGCTGAACTCGAGCCTTTTTGGGTGGAGGTGTGTCAGGTGACTTCCAAATGGATTCGGTATCGTAATAGTACAGCCATGTCTCGTCCGTGGACACGATCCTGTCAAAAAAAACTTCATCATGTGCCTCATAACGCTTGAGAAATTCTCGAGAACACTGCACGCGCTTCTGTCTGTCGACTTCCGTCAGAATACGGGGTACCCAGCGAGCGGCAACTTTCGACATGTTCAGATCTTCTGTAAGAATGCGATGCACAGCATAATAAGAGAGAGATAGTTGTTCAGCTATGCCGCAATGTAACCTCCAGTAATTCTTTCACTAAGGCTGTGTTTCCAACAGTAACTGTAGACGTCGGCCGACCAGTTCTTTCGTCATTATACACGGACGTTCTTCCTTCTCTAAACCGCTCATGTCATTTATACACAAAGGTCTTTTCACCAGTAGGCAATGCTTCCGAATTTTCTATCTTTTTAAGAGTTTCGCTCGGTGAAAGTTTCAGTACCACACAAAACTTGACGACAGCGCGTAATTCAATGTCGTCATCTGACGTTATTCATCTTTTGGTAGACATCGAGGTTAACGCTGCTGCGAAACAACCTTTCAAGACATCATCTTTAAAATTACAGGAAATGACGTCAAGACGTCACACTAACATAACACGCGTTAGTGCCAAATTTCTTTTATTTTCTTCCCGCAGTGACATTTATACTATATCATGTATACTTCAAAATGCAGTGGTTGCTATAACACGGTGCATTCATAGGACAATTTTGATATATATTAGGCAATATGGAAATGTAATTGCAAACATTTGGTTTACCTCTTTTCGAGTTTTCATGTAATTCAATAAAGTAATTTGGTTTTTAGAGGATAATTCAGCAAATTTATTAATCAGCCCTCATATATTCAAGTATTTAGTACTTGAATTCTACTTAAAATGTTTTTGTCAAGTGAATTATCTCCTAATATGAAAATATACTCATTTTGACACTGACACCTATTTGGGCCTCATTTTTCGATTGAAAAACAACAACAACACGAAAAGTGTAAAAATATGGATCAAGAACCAAACTTTGAGAGAAAAGGTGTTCATATTGCTGTCGTGAGGTTTGAACTCGTATAGACATAATCTCACAGTGCAAAGATTAACTACTGCATACATTTTATTTGCAGAAATATTTTTTGAGGCTCTGAAAGGGTAACCCCGTTTATTTTGAATACAGATAAATATATATAACATACATAGAGGATATTAAATGAGTGTAGAATATGATAAACAAGATCAACAAGGAAAGGCGGCGTTCAATGAACGCAACCCCTGGCGAGCATAATATTATTTTATTCAACGATTGCAATAAATTCAGTAATGAACTTACACGAATTTAATATTCTGTTTATCACATACTTAAAATAAAGACCATTTAAAGTGAAATAAGAGTTATTTTTCATTGACGCGCCTATAATTTAACGCTAACATTTAGCGCGTCTTTACACTATTTTTGCATAACACTAATGACGTCACATCAAAATTTATGCACGGCCGTGCAATACCATATTTTCGGAGTCGCAAAATCGGCACGGGTGTGTGATAAATACATACAAATACACACACATATAAATAAATCAAACGAACAAACACACAAGGAACATTAGAAAATAAATAAATAAAAGATGCATGTGATTAATCTAAAATCTCTCTTAACGTTTCTGTATATAGTTTTGTAGCATGTAGTCTAATAAATGCAAACTGTTTCTAGTCATATTATATTCATACATAATAATACATAGTCAATAATACAATGTCCACACTCACATACTTATCATGAAATGAAAATATATTTCAAACTATCCCAATGTTTGTTAAAAAATATCTACTTTGTTAATTATTTTTTGTATTTCTCTCTCGATTTGGTATTGGTACTTGATATAATGCTTAGCAACCTCTACAGACGATCATTTTAAATTCATTTTACAATAATATATATACTTCCTTACAAAATAAAAGCAAAAAATTTGTTTCATAATCTGCATTTCGTATGCCTAAAAATAATTCAATTTTGTCAAATTCAAATGAGTATTTTCAAAAAGACCATGAATCATATCGGAAACAACTTCACAGTCTCAATTTGCAGAAAATTATTATTTTTTATAAAGACATTTAACTTGAAAGAGATGCTATTGATTAAAGAGATCCAAGCCATCGAGGGTCTTTCTTTACAGAATAAATTGGGTCCGTATACTATAACTGTAACATATATTTAATATTGAACATCATTGGTGACGTAATTAAACAACATATCTGTAAAAAAAACTGTATCGAAATATTCCTTCAGGATAATAGTTAAATTAGAAGGACGATGTAGGAGTGGCTACACAAGGTTCACTCTTATTTATTATTACATTATCATACATTACTATAAATCTGCACATAACGCCGGCACTAAAAACTCTTTAAACTAGTGAGAGGTATCTCTACGCTTAATAGTATTGACAGCACATATTTGATATATAGAGTCCCACGTTGCCGATTCAAACATTCCTAATATTGTGGTTCCGTGTACTTCGAAGTCACTGTATGTTATAACGTCTTAACAAACACACAAGTATGAAGGTATTAGCTAAATAGTCAGAACCACAAAGCTCACACAAACATATCATTCAGCCTTGTGATCATGATCCAGATCAAAAGACAACAAAATTGTTTATTCTGTAAAAAGAAGTATAGATAATTTCCAAATTAAAACATTATAACAACATAAATTAATATCGTTAATGAAACATAATTATAATATATTTATATAAAGAAGGAGGGGTCGGTGGTCAAATTCTTATGTTTTTAGTCTATGCTTAATGAGGGTCCTTAAGCCGTGAGGGCGCAAAAAGCAGATTCACAGTCGAGTACGGACCCAGGACATACCATCTGTCATGTACTTAAAGGGTTAACATTCGAAGTTCAAACTGAAGATATTTTACCTCCATGCCATTTCCATAGAGTTTAGGCCAGAGATATGAATATTTTGAGCCAAAATTAGGTCTCTGTACCTAGCTGTACCGTAATCTGAGACAATATGAAAAAGGAGGTAGCACTTTAAAGGGCTGTCGATACCAACCAAAGGGTCTGCCTTTCAAGCCGCCTCTATCTGCGCACTGGGTTTACGCACTTAAGCACACACGATTTCCTCCTCGCCCCTGCCTTCTTTTAGGGTCCATTCCCCCCTCGGGTTTAGTCAGGACATCTACAGCTTGTCCGCATCTACAATATTTGATCTTTCTTTACTTTTAATCATCACGAGTTCTTTAAATCTTCTGCCAAATCGCCGTGCCTTCTTAGCGACGTGCTCGCACTGAGGGGACGTGAGAAGAATGGTGAAATACTCTTGTACATACTCCTTATATATTGAGCAGTCTTATACATATATACGCTTGATAAACAGCTACAATACTGTCGCGCCGTCCACGTTGAGCAAAAATTAATAAGAAAAAAGACCAAAGATAACTGTAACGCCTGGTAATTAGATGATAAAAATGAATATCATTTGTATTAAAGGAAGAGTTGTTACATAAACATGAAATATATTAACACTTCTGGTTGCCTTATGTCATAACTGACGTCTTTGTGTTAAATTTGTTTGGCTTGAAATCGGTAAAACTGTTCAAGTTGATAGAAAGATACATTTCGTAGAAGTATTCTAAAACGCTTACATTCGGTTTGCTTTCTTTCTGTTCAGAGTCCAAAAAACGCCACGGTGGCAAGAAAAATAATAAAGCACAGTGAAACCGGCTTCTACGAAAACATTTTTATAGTGCCCGAGTATGCAGATACAGGTATATGGACTGCAAGAGCTTTTTATAGAGGACAGGTAACATGTTTGTAAGCGTTTGTAGTAAATTCCTATTCAACAAAGTTATTCAGAACTTACTACAAGAATCAGGCATAATTGTTTCTTGGTGGTTTTAAAAACTATAATTCTTTATTCTGTAAATTGTTAGCTCAATTTCGATTGTGATTCATTTTCAAAACACACTTTATAAAGATCGAAATATTTTAGTATATTATTTTATTACTATTTCTTTCCCCCTTTTCAATGAGTCTTATCAATACTGCTTTATTTTACCAGCTTGAAACACAGTTTCATTCACGTTTTGAAGTAAGAAAGTACGGTAAGTGTTTATTTTATAAACGTTTAGCTGATTTTTACTGTGAACCTCAGATTTTCTATAAATATATTTTTTTACACGAAAACTGTCCCCTTTATTATTTCTTTTAATAATAGAATTCTTAACTTGAATAAATATCTTGAATCTTCTCAATATATTGATAACCCTAACCAATAGGTAAAATCTGCATCTAGAATTGTATCTAATAATTCCTTGAATTACTAACGAGTCAACAATTTGTGATAATATTCTACTTAAAGTTATTTAGGACATTGTATGGGGAAATATTACAATTGTATAATCAATAATTCAACTGGGTCGTTTTTGTAATTTTGTATCTTGTAATTTTTATGATTTCATAATTTGCTTCTTTTTTTCAAGTCTGTTGCTGTTTTTTCTTTTGAACCGTAACAAAATAAGCACAGGCAAATTTATTTATCATTATGTATATTATGAAACGAAGAAAAGAAAGGAAGACAAGGAGCTGAGGGAATTGTTTTTTTATTAGTATATCAGATCTGTTATATTTTCATAAACAAAAGTAATGAAAGCATTGTTTGAAATTGATTAAAACTTGTGACCTTATTCTCATTTTAGTTCTTCCAACGTTTGGGGTAACTATAAATGTTGATGTTCCATACATAACACCCGACACAGACGATATAACAATTACTGTAAAAGGCAGGTAAGAAAAGTTACTGATAACTAAAACTGTTTCTTTAAATGCTTTAAAATATAAAATCATCTGTAATTATTAAAATAGTATCATCACTTAATGTTAAGTCATGAATATTGATATATGTTTTCTATATACCACGTAAAGTCAATACAAAATTCTCACAAATATCATTTCTGTGAAAATTACAAAAAGAACAAGGGATACACGACTCGTATGTGGCTAAAATTGAAAGAGTGCACGAAATTCTATTTATCAACAGGTGCATTATTTCTCAATTCAACGCTATTGATTGTAACTGATCAAAACATGTTTGTTTAGCCATTTAATGTTCCAATGAGGTCGAATTTCAGAATTATATTACTTAGATATACATGTATATCATTGACATTTTCTCACATTTTCCTAAATTGACGATTTCATTTAATTCAATATTGGTTTAAATTAAAACGTTAATATATAAACATTTTAACGTGCTCCGACGTAAACTTTCAGTTGTTATGTTAATAAATTGTGAAGGAAATAAATGTTTGCGATAAAAGTAAAACTCAATTTTAGAAATACAGAGACCCTTTCGATTGATAACAAACACGTTTATTTTCATAAAAAAGACCATAAACTTTGGAAAACACCAACAATTTCATAGTACATGTAAATTTTTCTATGCAGATATTTTAGTACAGATGTTTTAATGTACAGATATGTTTATATATAGATATGTCTATGGAAAGCCCGTTGATGGAAAAGCAAAAATAACTTTGAATTTAGTTGACCAAGATGGAATAAGTGAATTCCTTCTAGAGAGTAATTCACTACGGGTAAGTTTAAAGGAACTTGAAATAATATATTTTTCATATTCATTTAGCTTTCAGACTTAATTTTTTTCAGGTTGTATAAACAAAAAGTATGCTTATGCAGCGTAAGCCGGTGTAACATTTGATTTTAACTTCTTTGAAATTTAACCCATGGGTCATTTTTCAACGAATTTTTATTAATTTTCAACATTGAAAATGGACCCGTTCCAATTGTTTAATGGCCCACGCGTTAACTTTCTTAAGACAGTTCCCTCTCAATTCTACATATACTCTTGCCTTTCCCACGGAAGTTATTCGCATAAGCCAAGGCTTGGTAATGCTATGCTTGTAAAATCATTTTTATGACGCCTGTGAGAATGAATTTCGTTTCTTCTAAGCGTTTCTCTACAACAAACAAACGGACAATTAAAATTTAACAAACACTTGAAAATGACCATAATTTGATCAAAAGTTCTGAACCATTTTTTTCTCTCAAAATTTAATGTTGAATTGTTGGTAGGGTAAATTCTCAACAATTCTCTTAAGTGTTTGTAATGCAGGATAGGCGCGAAAGTTCTTGTCTGCTAATTGGTGGAAAATGGTGATGTTATTGTACCAGTTATCATACGTTATAGCAATTTAAGTGTAAAGGTTTACACTTAACTAGGCGCAATCAAAAAAAATACTGAAAATTACGTTAGACAGAAATAAACCAACGCGGACCGCTTATGAGTTTTGCTTCCAGTTAGAAATGACTGCGACGTTTATGTTGAAGCTATCAAAAAGAACAATCAGATATGCAAATGTATATCGATCATTGATATTTGAGTTGACTGAAAGATTCTGACAGATCGTGCAGAAGAACAACCGTGAAGGACGACAAAAAGTTACGTCATTAAGGACGTAATTAATCACGACCGCAGACAGAATATTCGGGGAAAATCTGAAATTAGAAAAATTGAAGTTCATCAAAACTTTAAGACAGATCTGCAGATGACCGATGGGTTCCCAGTTAAATTATAGACTCGGTTTGATTGAGCCTGTTAAAGGACGGTACTGGTAAGTGCAAGTTACCGTCCAAGCCATCTTACACCAGCATAAGCAGTATTCAACATTTAACATGAAATGGTAAAATTTGAAATTTTGAAACATTCGTATACGTTTTCATATATTGGTTATCATGGAACCTCCAATGATATACGTTAGTGCCATTCCATTTAAAGCGGCATATGGTCCCCAAGTAAATAAAATGTTTGTTCCCTAAACGAAAACACAATGGGCAGAACTAAATAAAATGAAATTTTGAAAGGGAATGAGAGGTTATGAAGCCTGCACATCACAGATATGACGTCAAAAGACAAATATAAAAAGCACGCCACATATCCTAATGGTGATTCAACAGTATTCAAATGAGGAATACTGGAACCACCATACAAGAAAATAGTCAAATGGAAAGAACTACAGTACCACAAGCACAACAATAATGTCTTGTTGATTGCAAATATAACATCCCTGATTGAATGTACGGAGCGACATTTTACTACATTCACACTGCACAAACAACGCTAATGTGGCGATAAAAAAGAAAGAAATAAGAATCCCTAAAGAAAGCCAAACACTGCAAAATTGAAAATGTTGCAGGCTCGTTTCGATTGAGTCTGTTTATGAACGGTACTGGTACGTGCAAGTTACCGTCCACTCCCTCTAGCACCGGCGTAAGCAGTATACAACTTTTAACATGGACTGGTAAAATTTGAGATTTTGAAACATCCGAAGATATGTTCATATTGCGATTATCATGGAGCCTTCAATGTGAATATACAAGCCAATGAAAACACCGGTATTCGAGAAACAGCTAAAAATACCCTAAATGCTAGATCTGTCCTAAACAGAAATGATTCCATTTAAATGGAATGAAATCGGACCACATTTCCTTTTCCTTATACAGTTTAGAGCATAAATAACCTAAATAATCTTAATGATACCATTGCTTAGCTGAAATTTCATATCCATCATATTGAAATAGATAAATACAGAATCCCTAAAGAAAGCCCAACACGGCAAAATTGAAAATGTTGCAGGCTCGGTTTGATTGAGCCTGTTCATGGACAGTACTGGAAATTGCAAGTTACCGTCCACGCCCCCTAGCACCGGCTTAAGCAGAATTCAACATTTAAACGTGAAATAGTAAAATTTTGAATTTAGAAACATCCGCAGATGTGTTCATACGGCGGTTATCATGGAACCTTCAATGTGACACTTCGGTGCCATTCCATGCAAAGCGGCGTATGGTCCCCAAGTAATAAAAAGCGTGTGCCCTAAACGAGAAAACAATGGGCGGAACTAAATAAAATGGAATTTTGAAAGGGGATCAGAGGTTATGAAGCCTGCGTATCACAGATAAGACGTCAAAAGACAAATTTAAAAAGCAGGCAACATATCCTAAGGGTGATTCAACATTATTCAAGTAGGAATATTGGAACCACCCAACTAGAAAATGCCGAAAAGTTGAAACTAAAAATACCACAAGCACAACAATAATGTCGTGCTGAACGATCTTCAAGGATCGAAAATATAACATCATTGATTAAATGTACGGGGAGACTTTTTACAGCCGCCACACGGCACAAATAACACGGATGTGATCATAAAATAGATAAATACTTGTTAGGCTTCAGGAAAGCACAATCACAATTAAACATCTGTTACTTTTTCGGAACACTTGCTTTTAAGGGAGATTCTCATCTTCATTTACTCAAGAGGAAATGTGAATAAATATGGGACCCATTAGTAATTTTACGATGATTAACCTTTCTTTGACTCCCGGAAACCTTTGACAATCCTTATTGACCTTAAAAATGTTAACAGATTGTGATCACGCTATCGGGTTACAAAGTCATTGTGGTTTAAGGCGGCTTAAATGTTTGGGGTCATTTAGTCTACCAATACAATTGCATTTTTTCTCGTCGACTTCATAATTTGCATTTATAAAATAGGCTCACATGGTTTGATTCAGTTCTTACACAGTTTTCATAGTTAAGTGTGCTCTATTTCAGTTTGTATTGTTGTAGGCAGCTAACACAGCTAAGGTTAATTTAGTCGGGGTAAATGATTTGGGTTAACTCAATTTGCTCACACATATTTCAAGCTCAAGGGCATTCTGATGGACTATTTTGCTTACACGATTTGCATACAGTCAGTTGAATCACACGCATATGTATCTGCATATATTCAGTCGGTTTGTTAAGATTTACTCATCTAGTTGGTCTACATGTTTTACGCCAAAAAAGTGTTTTAAGGAAGAGGAATAAGAAAAGTAAATAAGGGATTAATGGCTCACAATTTTTAATTAGGGGAAAATATTTCAGACTGATACATGTACATGGTTCAAACATTTAATATCCCTATCAATAATAAGCATTTCTGTATATCAATGTTCAAGAAATCATAAAATATTGAATAAATGATATATGTTTTAAATTGATTCTCAGAAATTATGTTTGTATAGTTTATTTTTTTTATTATTGTTATGTTTTGTTTTAACATTGGTCTGTTGCTTTCATCTGTATCTAAATTGATATAATGTGCTAGTGCTATTTTCAATCCATGCATATAAATGCGAAAAAAGTAACATGTTGACAGTTTTAATTCTTAAAATAATGAATTATTGATATATTTTAAATGCAAGCAAATAACAAAAAAATGGACTTTTTTGGGAACATAGAAATATTATTTTCCTTTTGCTTTAAACAATACTTATTTCATTTTTCATGTTTACAAACAAAATTACAATACATCAATTGCATTCAATATTGAGTACAAAACTTACAGATTATATAAAACTCTCTCCTGTAAAAACATTTCAACAATTTATTTTCTTTTAAGCTTGAACCAAGTAGAACAGAAAGCATTAAAGAATTCAAGATCACAGTTAAAGCTATCCTCGAAACTCCCTTACTAAAGAAAAAAAAGTTTCCAGATGGATGTCGTTTAGAAGTGATTGGCAGAGTCTATGAAAGTGTAACCGGAAAAGAAGAAGCTGCAGAAAACGAAGGGACTATATTTGCTACAAAACCGTATATTTTTAAGTTTACAAGATCAAGAACTCATTTTCAACCAGGAATGGAGTACTTTCTTAAGGTTATTATGTTAACATGAAAATTGATATTATTCGCTTAAAATGTTTATCAATGCTGAAAGGATTTCAGATAACGACCATTCGAGTGTGCGCTTCTGTCTTTTATTTTCTTGCATCACAAAGACCACAAAGAAACTAAACAATTTTCTAGGGCAAATTATATAGTTATTAACTAATACATTCATTTCTGATAAAACCTTAACAAATAAATAATAGAATAGAATAATTAAATAAATTATTTCTCTATTAAAAGAAGTACAGTTATAATTTATTAAATAAATTTCGTAACAATTGATTAAATAAATAACTCATTAGAAAATTCATTTTTATCCATAAACAAATATCAAACATAATTAAAGCAATTATCATACGAACTATAATGTCTTTAACGTCGAAGTCTTTAAATTACAGTTTCAGTCTTTCACGCCACGACATATAACGGAGGTCCTTTTTAACAATATTACCAACAATTATTTACATTATTTGTAAAGATATGACCGAATTCACACTTTTATTTTAACAAATGGAGGTAATTAAAATTTTATTTACTATAAAGTCTAAGTCGAATTTTTCAAAAACAAATGAAATGCACATATTTTAATGATTACATATAATGTAGACAAATATTTGGAGTACATAATTTACATATTCTTTGATGTTTGAAAATTGTTTTAGAAGCATAATTATACACATATATAAAAGTGTGGTAACAACCTTAATAACAACATACAGGATCCTTAATTAGAATCGGCTAATCAACAAATCTTACAAATGCTATGCATATTTATTTACGCTTACCGTCTACAAAAAGGGTAATATACTGAATCAACAAAATAACCTGAAAATTGCATTTATGTTTGTATAACTTCAGTTCAGCTATAAGATAACATTTCCTTGTTCTTTTAGCCATAGCCATTATTGACAAGAGTTCTACCGGAATATGTCGTTGTATTTATATGTTTTCTCGTTTACATAATGATTGTTTATAGGTCGATTTGTTATACGCAAATGGAGAGCCGGCATCTAAGAAAAATCTCAAGCTAAAGATATTTGAAAACGGCAATCAAAGTAGTATCAAACCTACTTCAGTAACTAAAGACAACGGAAAAGCTGGTTTTAATTTTCAAACGAGCAACAGCACGAAAATCATAAGGGTCGTGGTAAGGCTTCACATCTTTTTCTTTGAGTCTGATGTAAAATAATTGGAGAATATAAATGAAGTTTTAATCAAATGTTTTTTTACACAGTTCTATCCAACAAGATAATTTAAATAATAAAATAAATTGTTTTTATGTGCACTATTTCAGTCATAATCGTTAATGGTAAATGATAATAATTATAATAATCATCATTATCGTCATTATTTTGTTTGCTGTTGTTAGTGCTCTTATTATCATTATCAGGTATCAATAACTGATGATAGCTATAAAAGTGATGAATTTGAGATTACAGCATATGTCGGAAAGAACCAAATCCAAGTGGAGCATGCAATAATTGTATGACATATTCTTATAGAAATTGTCAGCACTAGTTATTTAATTGTATTAATTAAATATCAATTATATTGATTCAGTTGTCAGTTGAATTTTGTATAAAGTAATATTGATAAAGGTGATTAATAATACTGATATATATTTAGCTTGTCAATTATATTGATTGAAAATGTCATGTATATTGCTCACGATTTTAATAAAACACTAGCTTTAAATATTAACACAGTTCATCTTCATTGAAAAATATTGTAAATGAATTAGTTTTGTAATTCATTATATGAGTATTGGCAAAGAATTGGCGAGACTAAAACGAAATCATAACCCTCAGAATCTTTCATAGTCATTTAATGGAACCAAGTTTAATTCCTTTTTCAATTCAATAGAATGAAGATATGGTAATGCGAGCGTTCACAAGCATAGAAGGATCTGACTATACCGGAATATTCTTCGTTGTAAGTAAAGTCATACATGTTTAACAATAAATAAAAGACAACTTTAAAAATCGCCTTATCTTATTCATTACAGAAAGGATAAAAATCAGTATTGACTTTTCACTTTGTTTCCAGATTTTTCAAAGCAATGCATATTAAAGTACATGACAGGGAATATATCTCAGTACAAAAATGCAAGAATGACTTTTGACTATATGTTAATAATTATCATCCGTGCTAATGCATAAGATATGGTGACACTTTGACTTAATGTGTTTCTGCCAAGTTTGTTTGTATGTCATGTGTTCTCTTCAAAGCGTTGTCGTCCTTAAATCAATTTCTATACAAAACGTCAAAGTAAGTTTATATAATTGTCAAAGCATTCGATAAGCTAATAGTGTAGGGAATGAAGTAGTAATTCATGCATGTTTTGGAGGTCAACTAGTCTACGTCTGGAAACTGTAACTTTTATATAACAAAATAGGTTCGAATAAGTGGCAAATCTAAGCCTGTCAGAATACTATGACTACTCTCTTAGTATTAATGCGGGACTGTACTTAATTTAAAACCTTCAATTTATTTAGGTTTGTACATATAATAATGAAAAAAAAAACAACAACAGTAATTATAATAATTAATAACACCTTGTTGGATTTATGTTATGTAACCTTTTACAGCATCATCTTCTTTAACCAATGTCTTCTGCAGTAGATGTGGGTCTATTATTACATCGCAAAGTGTCGTGAAGGGTAGACAACTATTATTACACATTCGGTCAATAAGGAATGTCATTTGAAAAAAAACTGTGGTGATAATGAATAATACATATTTTTTAATAAGTTTCTCTCTAACGTAAGATATTTATTTCTATAAAATGTTATATTTTTATAGTATGCTACCATGCCATTCATAAAAACTGGTCAAAAGTTGAATATTTGCTAACTTCACCCTTTCTATTATATGTATTTCAGATAAAAAACAAGTAAGTTGTGGTAGAGATTCTTTTTCTTTTAAATAAAGTTTCCTAGACTGAAAGTTTTATATATATGTACCACACTGAAACTGTGTATGAATTTATTTCACCTTTTGTATTCAGCTTGTTACTACTAAGTATTAGTTATAACTATTTGTTATAACAGTTACTTAGTAATATAAGAAATTAAAACACAACTTGCACAAAAGAAACGTTTTACAGTTTAATATGATACCAAACTTTTATGATTTATTAACAGACATCAATTTTAACTATACTCATATAAAAATCTTTTTTATCTTTAAATATAACCACACAGACTTGACAATTTTAAATATCTAAAATATATCACTTTAACTTTAATCCAATAATAGTTTCAAGAAGACGTTACACACTTAGAACCTAAAGAATTTCTGACTTGTCAGTGTTGTTATATTTTGCTGGTCCTTCGGGATCATTGATGCCAGCACTACTAAGTGTTGAGAATGGAGTACCTTTCAAGCCGGTGCTAGGTCGTGTGAAGAATGTCGCACTTATTCATTATCCCTCATGTACAGACTCAATCAAATCGAGTCCGCAATTATTCTTATGTTATTTTGTTGTCATTAATGCTTCCGAGGGATCATTTTGTTTCCAGATTTGTATGCTAAATCATCTAAGCTTATATACTATATATAAGAGGCGGGAAAATAATCAAGAAAAGCATATAAAGCATGCGGTGGGAAAAAAAGAATGGAGTTAACAATGAAATTAAACATTTTAAGGACTTTTCTTATTATTTAAACAAATTCAGGAGTATACTCAAATGAAAAATGATTCAATTTAACTTTACTCTTATAGGTTTATTAAATAACAAAAATTTGCAAAGAATCAAAACATGTTTAACTTGCAAAAAAATCGCAAAGTGTGCGACATAATTCAACATCGGGTAAAATACAAAAAAAAAATGAAAACAAATTATCAGAAATAGGTGCAATTATAGAGACTTAAACATTAGATGAGTTAAATTATATCCCACCCGTTTAAAATCATATAACATCAATAAAGTAGTGCCCATAACCATTAAAATTGATATAAATATAAAGAGTTTGAGTTGAATTTTGCACACAAGTAGCGTTAAAATTTGTTGTTATGAAAATAACAATTTGTCTTAAATTTTATTTTTAAAACATTGCTTATGATATTCTTTTAAATATTGCATATTTCTCCCATAAAAATAACCAAAAAACAATTTATTTACATCAAACATGAATTTTCTATCGTTTGTATATGTATAGACAAAAGCAACTAAAATTCTTGAAAAACAATGACCAAGCAATGATATTTAGTGTTTTGGGGGAATTTTGGCGGCCATATTGGACGCCATCTTGAATTTCTTGGTTATAAGACCATTTGGGTTTAAACGAAATACCGTTTCGTGTGTGAACATTTTGGTAAATAAAACTTACTTTTCCTAGACATAGACTACTACGGTCCTACTAACCGGTCGTCGTTTCCTACACTTTAAAGAAGAAGCACGTGTTTTATTCTTAAAATAACTTAAGAGGTATTAACATTGCTGTTAATCATATACAGCCGCAAGAAAAAGTGCTCTATGCTCTAATTCGTCTCTCTCTGAGTCATTCCAGCGTTTCATGTTGTACCTGTACCAATGGCTTTCTTATGTATGCATTAACTGATAAACGACCATAATTATGAAAGGTTACATATTAATTTTTTGCATCTATATCTGACCAGTCACTTCCAGTTTTAGCATCTCGAAGTTATATGTAGTTTGATATGTCATCTGTGTTTATTTGCCCAAGTTATATTCCTAATTGTAACATTGAAAAAAGCTTTTATAAAGGATATTGGTTTGAACAGTAAATGGAAACTTAGATTTTGGGTCGAGAGTTTAAAGGTCAAGGTCATATTGAACTTTGTAATAACCCATTGGCCCTTGGGCAGTAGATATCCACTTCTGATTTTGACCTTGTATGCCAAAATGTTTTCCAACCATCAACTTAACTACCCAGGTGTCCTCGGCTCTAAATTTTAAAGGTGAATTTGTCTTGGCTGTAATTTACTTCTATAGAATACGATGTCAAAGGGGTCAAAGGTCATGCCACATTGACCATGTTAATCAAATCGGATTCCGATCAATTACTCAACAACCAATAGGCTTTCGATCCTTACACTTCATAGTTGCATTGGCCTTTGACAGAACATGATTTCAATTGATTTTAGGGTCAAGAGGTGAAAGTTCAAAGTCAAATTGACCTTGCATGTCAAAACGGTCGACAAATAACCCGACAACCACAGGCCCTTGGCCCTCAATCTTGTGCATAAGTCTTAGCCATGACATTATCCTATTTATTTTTGGATCTCAGGGTCGAAATTCAAGGTCAGATTTACCTTGTATGACAAAACGGTTTGCGCCCAATAACTTGAAAAACATTGAGCCATTTGCCATCAATCTTCAAAGTAGCAATGATCCTTTGCAGTGTATGGCCGCTTTTGATTTTTTTTGGTCGAAGGCTTACATGTCAAGTTAACATTGACTTTGTATGCAAAACAATTTCAGAGCATCAATGCATGCAACTTCCGACATGTTGACAAGGGGGTCATGCATGTTTTACAAACATGTCCTGTTTTATAAAAGTTCGTTTACACAAATTGTTACATAAGAAACTTTCTTATCAGTACAAAAGCAATCAGCCTAACAGGGACGATGGCTGATTTCTACCATGCCGTAACTTCATCTTTTCGCAGTAAACTGTTGAAGGGGCGACAACACGAAAGAACGAAATAACGACAAAAATGTAAATTATCGTTTTGTTCTCACTGCTTTTATCGTTTCGTCGTTAGTTCGTTTCGGTGCCCTTCAAATGCGACATCACGACAAAAATATAAAACCGCCGAAACGAGGTTTTAATGCGACAACACGATGATAAAAATATTGTATTGTTGCCCCATATTCGGCGTGTTGGCGCCCATTATTTGCGAACTCAGCCACCATAAGCAAGTTATACAACTTTTGCATTTTATACGAAATAATCTTAAAACTTAAGCAACGGAAAAGCTAATTTGGCATTGTGGATATTTCTTCACTTTTATCTGTATCAGTAGTTTCATACTTTAACTACTTTCTTATCAAATTATAACCGCATATTGCAAAATCCTTTTTATACAATTAAAAAAAAACACTTGAGTATAGCTTTGATTACCCTTCTTTGTAGATTGAGGACATATACATTTTTTTTCATTATAAATGGTTTCATGCCCATACAAACTATATGACCAGAAAAAATACCACGTGATTAGCAAGTAACACAAGTATCTTTTCTCCTAAATTACCTCCCCTTTTCGCAAATTTATAAAGTTTGGTTCTAAAATCATTCACAAACGCTCAAAACGACCAAAATGAAAATGTTGCAAGCTTTGCAAGTTTTAGCTTAAATGAACAGTAGTGTTTATTGCAGGCTACCGTCAACACCTGTAGCACCGGCTTAGGCAGAATTCAACATTTAAATTTGTTATTTAAATTATTTTTTCATTGTTTTACCTGTGATGTCTTGCTTCGATGATGCCTTTGAGATAGAATATAGGAAAAGTGACGCATTAATGCAGACAAAGCGTAAAAACTAATATAACAAATGTCACAGTTGTTGCCATTTTATTGACAATTAAGCCATCAACGAAGTGGACAAATCTATTCATTTTTTTATAGTTTTATTGCTACGACTTAATCCGAAATGTAACATAGTTTTAGAAGAACACATTAAGTATACATATTTTTTCTTTTTCAATCCACGATACACAGGTTATTTCAAAAGGGCAAATTCTACACACCTTATTCAAAAAAAACGACAAAATGGTAACTGAAAAAATCACAGAAGAAATCCAAGAAAAAGTCTCTCCAAGCGGCCGAATTCTCGCATATTATGTCGACAAGAACTCACAAGAACTTGTTGCTGATTCAATCAAATTTTTTGTTAAAAAGGGGTGCCTCGTTGATGGGGTAGGTATAATACTTTTTGTATAAAAATATTAGGTCAGATGTCGGCGCTCCTACTATATTCATTGTAATTTCATTAAAAAAAAACATTGGTTAAAAATTGAAAGACATAAGTGTCAAGTATATATATTAGCAACTCAATGATTAGATCTTGTGAAGTTTAATATTCAACATCAAATCAGACTAATGGTATATGGTTTGTATCACACTTTCGTATTCGTTTCTTTGAATCCGTCGGGTCACGTGTCACAAATATACTTCATAAATCGAGCTGTCTTGGAATATAATCATAAAAAACATCTGTTGGCTAGACATGAGTGGTCGCCTATTATAATTGCTTTCGTTTCAATCTCTTAAACTGTTGCATGAAAAGGCAGAATTTCTGGTTTTGTAAATGCTTTGATGTACAAATTATAGTCCTCAAAATTGAACGAGTTTGAATTCAAACGCACCAAGATATTTGTAGTTCTTCTCACAAATGGGTTTGCTTATATGATATATGTATCATTTATGGTATGTATCAATAGTATAATGTGTGAGTTTGTTTGACCCCAGGTCTCCGATTGAAGTCACAAAGCCTTCAGCTTCATTTGAATTATCAATAGTCCTAAATCTAAGTATTTTTGCGCTATTCAACGTTCATATCTCATGCCTTTTTGCAAAAAAAAATCTATTCTAAAGGCTGCATGTAAAATACTTTGCAAGTCTACATCCGTAGAGAGTCAGTTATATTATGATTATAAACCATATTCAAATTTTACAGCTCAAACTTACAACAAAGACAAATGTGTCGCCTGGTACTCTTTTGAATCTCAAAATATCTGCTTCATCACATATGTTTGTTGGTTTAAGAGCAATGGACAAATCTTTGTATCTCCTCAACAACAAAACAGACGTGAGTAAATCAAAGGTAGGTTAAACTGGAGACCAAAAACTTTTTCATAAATTTTGAATTATATTGGTAGGATTGAAAAATTCACAGCGTAATTAATACATATATAATTATATGTAACAATAATTAGACACGAACGTGGTGGCATTGTTCAAAATAACTGATATAACTTCTATCAAAATATGCCTAAAAGTTTAAAGCAATGACTAACGTCAGCAAAAATATGGTTCTAGTGAGGACCTTGGCTGAGGGATATAAAACATTTTTTCTGAGATCTGTCTAAGGTCTAATGATTTTTAGTGGCCGGTGCAAACCTACACCGGTTTCTGAGTAATCAAATGAGCTTGAATTGTTTTTATAACCTCGATACCCAGTAATTGATGCAAACAAATGTATTTAATTCATTAAGAAATTATATATGAAATTTTATGTAGGATAAAGTTAAAACATAAACTTGCGGTTAGGTTTACATAAGTATATCTCTAAATTTTAACACGAATCGTGATTTTGTCACTTAACCGATCTTAAATTGCTAATAAACACGTTTACGTATATTTGGCTCCTTCAATTAAAATGTGTAAACGAAGGCAAAAAATGAACACATTTCTTTAAAAGAATTTACCGTCCCTTTTATCTTTTCTCTTTATATAATGTTGTATATAAGACACTAACGCAGCATAGTTTGAATATTTCATTATCCAAAACAATTGATATAATTCATATCAATATAATCTTTGACCATTCATCAACAGTATAATGACGTCATCATAAAATACAGCTAATTCATAAAGGCACGAGAATTACGTTATCAAAACGTACAAAGACGGGAATGAAGATAGATTCATCATGCAATGAGATGAACACTTTTTCATCAAGCTAAATTTAAAATCGTTGAAACGATAAAAGTATTGAAAGAATCTACGATACTAAAAGGGAAACATGTTTTCTCTTATAAATTCTTTGTTTTGTTTCCTTGGTGACAATAGGGTTAGGAACAGCCAAAAACGAAAACGGATGCGGAAATAATCTCTGCTTGAGAAAGCGTTAGTGATTTCCTTATTTGTCTTGTTAGAATCGAGCATATATTGATCTGAGCTGTGTGAGTCGGTTATTCAACACCGATTTGTCTGTTTAATGTGAATACTTTACGGTCAATTCGCATGCACAAAAAAAATCTAAAACGGTTTTAAATAGTCGATAACACCGTTTAGACGATATTATATCTAAAAACATGTTAATTTATCTGTTTATCTGTATAGATATATGACATTCTTGAGTCGCACGACCTTGGTTGTGGAACTGGAGGTGGGAGAAACAGTGCAGAAGTATTTAAAGTGAGTTTGAAGCAATGCAATGTTTACTTTCAAAGTTTGTATAATTTCTTTATTCATGCTCATTAATCATAGGATCTTTAAAGAAAACACATATCATTAGGTTTTGTTTTCAACAAAGCAGACCTGGTTGGAAGAGGTTACTAAAAGTTTAAGGTAACTTAAATATTTTGAAAAATTAAATTCAATTTTGGCGATAACCGGATGTTTGTCGAGTAATCCAAAATAGCCTGTTTCAGTCAAAATAATGTTTTCGTTATTCCTATTGAATAACGTGATTGAAATCAGATGTAATTTCATTATGTTTTAATTTTATGATACTTATAATACATCATGATTTAGGCTTACATTAAACCCAAAACTTTTTTAACCAACTTTTTGAAGACGAAAAAAGAAGATTTGTAGATCCTTGTCAGATAGCAAATATGTTTCCGTATCAGTTATCGTTTTTTTTTGTTATAAATAGCTTGTAAAAGTCGTTACTTGTTTTCTTACAGAATGCCGGTACGACAATATTAACGAATGCAAAATTATCAGTGAAAGATCTCTTGCGGACAGCTGGTGACTGTGAAGAAAATAAAAGAAAAAAACGGGACACCGAAGGTAGGTTAATGAAATATAGGCAATTTATGGGGAAATGAAAAAGGAAGATAAATAATTAGAATATGAATATGAGAAGTACATTTGTACTTATCTACGTTGTCTTCATGGTCGTCGTTACAATGTTTATTCTTATCATAGTCCTTTGTAACAAAAATGCTTAATACTTCAGAAAATAGAAAAAACATCACACTTGGCGCAGATGTTGATTAAGACAAAAGACACATTTTGGGAATGGGACCTATTTATATATTATGCCAAGGTGGTTGCCATGGCAGCAATTTTTAAAATTGTTCGCCGTGACATGAAATTAACACTTTCCTATTCCCGTATAAGCTACTTATAGTTACAATTTTACTTGAAATAATTACAGTTTTCCTTTAATATGAGAGATTTGTATTAATTATAAGTAAAAGATACTAGTTAGCAGCTATAATGTAATTTATTGCTTCTGTTTCTATGGTAAACATTTCAGTGATCTGTCAAATCATTATATTTTAGCTATCAGTCCGTGAACTTCGAAATACTTAATTATTTTCTCAATTTCATTTAATTTGTTTCAATCCTAAGTGAACGATTAAATTTAAGCATGAATGATTGAAGTGTATTATTACATAAGGAATATGTTCTAGTAAAATTTGAATCATTACTAGATCAATTGATATAATAAAAGGGCATTATAACTGTGGGAAAGGACACTGCCAATAATCATCTTATTGATGAAGCACAATGCAAGGTGATTATGTCAAGCAACTATCAGATACGCTTTAAATAGTAACTGTGTTAAAAGTGGGCAAAAGCAATTTATTTACTAAATAAGAAATATTTAAGTTACCGGTATTATGTCTGAATTTTCCAAAGCATAAAAACAGAATGAAATTTTTCAACACATTCCTGTAAATGCAAGGTAGGCTCTTTTCAGTAATTTACCATTCCACAAGCTAAATCAACAATAATTTGCTTGCACCCAAAAAATATTACCTTAATTTTATGAAACTAATCTTATATTACATAGCAACTGCAATAACAAAAACAAAACGTATGTATCCACAGTCCATTAGACATTCAGCTGCCAGATCTATTAAATGTAACACCAGTTTTGTATTGGAATATTCATAATTTAGTTGCAGAGAATGTGATTGCAACTCCAACATTTAAACAACAAACATATATATTTTCGTGGTTTTAACATGTAATTTTTATCTTCGCAAGCCACTTGAATTTTGAAATCCTATGGGTGTTGCATGTGTTTTTGATTCAATATATCATATGAAGTCTATGTTGAACATAGAAAGGATATATAGACAAAACTTTAATTACAATAACAATCCTAATCATGCTCCACTCACCACAGGTAATTAAAAAATAAATAACACGGTATACCGCGTATCGAAAAGTTTGTGATACAAGTTTGCTTATGAATAAAACGCAAACAAGTCAAATCGGGCTCAAGTCAAATCGTCCCCATCTCAAATCGTCCCCAAAATTAGTCAAATCGCCCTCTAAATTAGTCAAATCGGCCTCATTACAGTTTAAAAAGTCAAATCGGTCTCTAAATTAGTCAAATTTACACCAAAGTTAGTCAAATCAGCTTCAAAACAAGTTAAATCAGAAGACATGAAAAAACATTCTTTCTTCTAGAATAAAACTTTAAACTAGGACAGGATAAGCAAAGAACTCAGCATGTTTGTCACCGTGTACGTGACATGACTAATTTAATCTGGAAATCATAATATTTCAGTCCAAGGTATTTGCTCTTTATCTTCAGAAAGTTGCTTTTTAGGACACTTCTGGTTGCAAAGAAGATATCTGTTTATCTCGGCGGTTGCTCCGAAATTGTAATATAGTCTCAACATTACTTAATATTTTTGCTATTGAATTCTTCTTAATCACGCCACATATCACAAAAAGATTGTAATGTAAGATTAAGCCTGTTATGCCTGTTGCGCATGACACATCATTTTATTATAACAAACATTTGTACCAAGTTATTTCGAATTCCTTTGATAAATGACAAAGTTATGGACCGGGTACGAAAGTGTGACGGACGGACAGAGGGACGGACGGAGCCTATTTCTCTATCGCCCTTTTTCTTCGAAAAGGCGGGGGACAAAAACAAAACCCAACACGCCTGACAAACAATGCATCCATCACAAATTGATCAGGATGTTGTGTTGTGTTCATTAACATAATCAATATATGACATGATTAAGAGAATTACCCGAGGTTCCTAATGCTTTATAGACATTAAAGCCTACTTTTACTGTTTTCGATATCTAATCCTTTCCACGCCTTGGTATTGATAGCGTATCATGAATCTTGCAACCATATAGGCCCTCAGAAGAAAAGCAGTGCCAAGGTGTGGCATATTTCTTTGAAAATTTTAGAAAACATGATATCCAACTGATGCCAAAGGTTATAAAAACAACCACCACATATAATATTTGTCACAAAAGGTACTCTTATTTATTTAAACGTGACAGTGTGAGTATTTTATCAATATTGACACTATCAGGTAAAGAAAGGTTGATATTTTTTAAGCAGTAATTAGTCAATGTAACCCAGGACATGAAATGAACGGGCAAGGGACTATCAACTAGATAAGTGTTAAATTGACAGATAATCGGAAATTAATATGTAGTGTAAAAAAGCAATTATTTCATCAAAGGTGTGCCGAACTTAGAGTCTGTAAACCGAAAATTTGTATAAAATAATCAAGTCAATCCTTTTTATGCAGTAATTGCATATGTGTTTTCATGAAGAAAACGAAATAATGAAAAATGAATTTGATTGGCCTTTATTATTTAAAGTCATTGATAAAATTTCATATTTATATGATATGGCAATTGAAATACTAGAAGACTAGAATCTTACGCCAGTTAACTGATACTTGTCTTTATCACAGGGCAGATAAGAAAGCGCAGTCCAGTTCAAGTCCCAGATGTAATCATTGAACTATAAATCTCTCCTAACATTACAAACTTTAATTTAAACTGTTTAAGCATGTACATGCATTTGATAAGTAAGGATTGTAAACAAAAATGGTCATAGAATGTTAAAAAATGATTTTTCAACATCTTAAGAAAACAGCAAAATCAAAATTCGACCTTTTTTTAATTTCATCTGATTTCCAGAGTCGTGAAAACTAATGACAAACAGAAATAATAAAATATTTTAAAAAGATAGCTTAAGGAAGACAAGGCAATGTTTCAGTACTGATAACAACTTTTCTTGCAAATCAGACAGGATTATCTACCGTTTACACCGGTGCTAGAAAACCCTGTCTTACATCCCCCTGTAAGACAAGTGGCGTGCTTTAAATGACGTCATTGCTGCGCGCCTTTAATGAATGAATTGCGTTCTTAGGATGACGTCATTTAAACGTCATGAATGAAGTTGTACGTTCATACGCTACTATAAGAAAAAAGTGCGTAATGAGAATATCAGTTTTCGTAATTTCTGTTCTGAAAACAATTGATATGCAATATGCAAGAAAAAGAATCAAACATCAGATGTCGGTACAGACAGGAATATCTAGCTCTCGGGTAACTGTTTAGTGGAAACTCGGCAGAGCCTCGTTACCGCCGTAAACAGTCACCCTCGAGCTAGATATTCCTGTCTGTACCGGCAGCTGGTGTAACATTCTTATAATATTATACTTATTAGTCTCTAATTTGTAATTATTTATCAAGTCGTTTTTGTAAAAACAAGCCTATATGAAATTTTAAACATGTATGGCGGCCATCTTGTATTTCTCGGACATTTTTAAAAATCGGTCCAATGCTTATTTTTTCTTATATAGCCCAAAGTTTATTTGTGCAAAGTTTGGTGCTTTTCCCATTTTCTGAAGTATTTTTTTCATAATTTGACTGGACTAATACAGCATGTTTGATCTTAGAAATTTTAAATCGCTGTAGGTAGGGCGCAGAACTGATCATATCGGGGTTGTGGGTTCGATATCTACTTTTGCCACTACTCTTTATAATAATTTTGTTTATTTGATGTTTATATAAGTTTTCATGTTCATTCATCTTCTTTCAAGAAAGTTCCTTTCATGTTGGATGTTTTCATGCTCTATTCATTCTGGAAAATTCTTTCTCTAAGTAGTTTAGTATTCTAGATTGCTCAATGAAAGTATATATATATGGATATATGATGAATGTTTGTACTTCGGTGTGTGTATGCTGTTGATAAACTGATTGTGTGCTAATATACTTATGATATCATCGTGAAGCAAACATAGGAATATATAAGTTTGAATTCTGTAATTCTTTGTTGGAAGTGTTTTGGACATATCGTGATATTCTGCAGTGGACATTGGACATTGTTTAAATTTGAGTGTTGACAATTGAATTTCGGACTGTTAGTTAAATTTAAAATGTGTATCCAATTTGTTCAAAAATTCGGAGATGTGCATATACCTTCATAAATACCTGTTAAATGCAATCACAACTTCCTTGCAGAGGTGCGAAAATGATACCATAAATTTAATGAGGCGATCAACAGTTTGACACGCGCACATGTGTCGCTTACGTCATCCGGCCTCTTATGATATTTAGTAACCTTTAATTGTGTAACACAATGCAGTTTGTACCCGAATCTTGTTTTAAGGTAACATTTTTGAAAACAACAAAGGGCCGTATTGCTATTATGATATAATAATTAAGGTAGTATTTAGTCCCGGTTAAACTTTTGTTGCCGCCGATCAGTCTATTTTATTACAAGAAGAAAAAGATGTTTCAACTGCTAAACATATTTTAAACTTGATATTGCATTAATTAAAATGTTCTAAAGTATAATGTCGTTGATTTAATTTTAATTAATTTGTCTCCTTTGCAGTCCTATCTATAGTTACGAATTCTATGAATGTAAATAGAAAACGAAAGTAGCATACGGACGGTGTTGATATTGTGTGATAAACTTTGAAGATCATTGGAAATCGTCCGAGTAACCGAGTACTCGATCGGAAAAATGACCGAGTACTCGAGTATTAATTTTGGTAT